AGCCGTTCCTCATAAGGCATCGTTTCCAGGCCTTTGGCCATTTTGGTTGCCCTCCTCTGGACACGTTCCAGTTTGTCAGTGTCCTTCTTGAACTGTGGTGCCCAGAACTGGACACAGTACTCCAGGTGAGGTCTGACCAGAGCAGAATACAGTGGCACTATTACTTCCCTTGATCTAGATGCTATACTCCTATTGATGCAGCTCAGAATTGCATTGGCTTTATTAGCTGCCGCATCACACTGTTGGCTCATGTCAAGTTTGTGGTCAACCAAGACTCCTAGATCCTTTTCACATGTACTGCTCTCAAGCCAGGTGTCACCCATCTTGTATTTGTGCCTCTCATTTTTTTTGCCCAAGTGCAATACTTTACATTTCTCCCTGTTAAAATTCATCTTGTTTGTTTTGGCCCAGTTCTCTAATCTGTCAAGGTCGTTTTGAAGTGTGATCCTGTCCTCTGGGGTGTTAGCCACCCCTCCCAGTTTGGTGTCATCTGCAAATTTGATCAGGATGCCCTTGAGTCCATCATCCAAGTCGTTGATAAAGATGTTGAATAAGACCGGGCCCAAGACAGAACCCTGTGGCACCCCACTAGTCACTCTTCTCCAGGATGAAGAGGAACCATTGATGAGCACCCTTTGGGTTCGGTCAGTCAGCCAGTTACAAATCCACTGAGTGGTAGCATAGTCAAGACCGCATTTTACCAGCTTCTTTACAAGAATATCATGGGGCACCTTGTCAAATGCCTTGCTGAAATCAAGGTAGGCTACATCCACTGCGTTCCCTTCATCTACCAGGCTTGTAATTCTGTCAAAAATGAGATCAGGTTAGTCTGACATGACTTATTTTTCAGAAATCCATGCTGACTATTGGTGATCACAGCATTTCTTTCTAGGTGCTCACAGACTGTTTGCTTAATGATCTGCTCCAGAATCTTCCCTGGTATTGATGTCAGACTGACTGGGCGGTAATTATTTGGGTCCTCTCTTTTCCCTTTTTGAAAATAGGGACAACATTTGCCCTCCTCCAGTCTGCCAGGACTTCGCCTGTTCTCCAGGAATTCTCAAAGATGACTGCCAGTGGTTCTGAGATCACATCTGCCAGTTCTTTTAATACTCTTGGATGCAGTTCATCTGGCCCTAGAGACTTGAATACATCTAAACTAGCCAAGTATTCTTGTACTGTCTCCTTAGTTATTCTGGGCTGTGTTTCCTCTGCTGAATCATTTGCTCCAAATTCTTCAGGTCGGGCATTGTTTTCTTTATCGGAGAAGACTGAGGCAAAGAAGGCATTGAGGAGTTCAGCCCTTTCTGTGTCCCCTGTTTGCATTTCACCATCTTCTCCTCTGAGTGACCCCACTGTTTCTTTGTTCTTCCTTTTGCTACTGAACATACCCATAAAAGCCTTTTTGTTGCTTTTAACCTCTCTAGCAAGCCTGAGTTCATTCTGTGCTTTAGCTTTTCTGACTTTGTGTCTACACGTGCTGGCTATTTGTTTGAATTCCTCTTTGGTGGTTTCCCCCTTTTCCATTTTTGTACACATCCTTTTTTAATCTTAACTCAGTTAAAAGTTCTTTAGATAGCCACCCTGGCTTCTTTAGGCACCTTCCATGTTTCCGTCTCATTGGTATTGCCTGAAATTGTGCTTTTACTATCTCCCTCTTAACAAACTCCCAACCATCATGAACTCCCTTTCCTTTCAGAATTACTGTCCATGGGATCTCACCCAGCACTTCCCTAAGTTTTATGAAGTCGGCTTTCTTAAAGTCAAGAAATTGAGTCCTAGTATGCTTGGCTGCTCCTTTCCACTGTATAGTAAACTTCAGAAGAGCATGATCACTCGCGCCTAATGATCCTTCCACTTCTACCCCACTAACCAGGTCATCAACATTGGTTAGGACCAGATCTAAAATGGCTGTTCCTCTTGTTGCTTCTCCCACTTTCTGGACAATGAAGTTGTCTGCAAGGCCAGTGAGGAATCTTTTTGACCTTATGTTCTTGGCTGAGTTTGACATCCAACAAATATCCGGGTAATTGAAGTCCCCCATTACTACTATCTCCCTTCCTTTTGCATGCTTGGCCATCTGTTCCAGGAAGGCATCATCTATGTCCTCCGTTTGGCTTGGGGATCTATAGTAAACTCCCACAATGAGGTCACTGTTATTCTTCTCTCCCTTAATTTTGACCCAAATGCTCTCACTTTGGCTTTGAGGTTTTAAATCTTGGATCTCTTCACAGATATACACATCCCTGACATATAACGCCACTCCTCCTCCTTTCTTGTCTGGTCTGTTTCTCTGAAATAGATTGTATCCCTCCATTATTACATTCCAATCGTGGGACTTATCCCACCAGGTTTCAGTGATGCCTATTATGTCATATTTAGTTTGCTGTACCAAGAGCTCAAGCTCATCTTGTTTATTTCCCAGATCTTTTGGATTAGGTAGAATGCAAAAGGGGATTGCTGGCAGATAATGGCAAATATCACACTGGAAGATAACCAGATGACTGAGCCCCATACATTGTGGATGACATTACTGATTATTGAGTAGAGTAGCCAGAGTAGACATGGATACAGGGTAGATACAGTATCCGGGTCTGCTGTAGGATCTAGTCCCTGTGCTATGTGGCCTGTGGTTGATAGTAAGTAACTGTTTTAGGCTGGGGAGCTGTCTGGAAGCAAGTACTATCATGTGTGAGAGAAGTCCCATTGCACAGGACAGACTGTGGATCCTTAATGATACTGCTACATGCCAGCTCAATCTCTGACTGGTGAGAGTCTCTAGGGGTTTCAGGCACTTACACAGGGTTTCTTGGAATGAAGGTCAGTGGAGACAGTAGTGTCTTTAAAGATATAGGTTTTATTTACACATATATACAACCTGAGCATAATATGGAGGAGCTCATAGCATTAACACCCCAATAGATCTTGTTTCTCCACCAGTCACAGCTTTGGATTCAGCAGAGAGCAAGTATGCCTTTGTGTCTCCAGCTTCAAGCCTGCTTGCAGCTCAGCTCATCCACACTCTCTGGCTATTGCTCTCTTACCTAGCAACTATATGGTGGTGTGGAGACCTATTAACCTGGAGGGCATCATCACTTAGTTGTAGCTTTTGCAACCTAGTTTATTGGTTTGGGGGGCTGATGAGGACATTTTAGTGGCTGGCTAAGGTCAGTCACTGTCTTACAAAGAAACATGCCCAAGTAGTTCAGCCCAAACAGAATCTTTTATTAGATTTGAACACTCACTGGATGCAGGATCCCAAGAACTGGAAGGTACTCAAGGCACTAGCCAGGCTGAAGCCCCTCCCCCATCCCACAGCAGCGCATTTGAATTGTTTTAAGGTAATTGGGGGCTGTAAAGTGACAATTGGTGGTCCTGTCATTTATTCTTCTAGATCTGTATTGTAGTAGATTATTCCTGGGTACCAGTCTGGCTTGGTGGATATTTATTTATTTCAGACAATTTAGATATCACTTGATTGTAGAAAAACAACTCAAAACAGTTTGCAAAACAACAACAACAATAATGTAAATGTTTAAGTTATGAATCTTTGTCTAAGGTCTGCGAACACATAAGATGTTTATCTATCCATTAGTGTCCAGAAACTAAACCTGTTGCATGGAATGGTCTAGGCTCAGGTTCTTGGTGAGAGGATAGTTACTGAATGAAATGGTGAAACTACTGAAGTTATGCTGTGACTCAGGATAATATATCATGTACCTGATGAAGTACACAATACTCCATAGGCATCTACAGATGAGCTGTTCATTGCATTCACAAAGCTGATAAGAAGGTTAGCTTATAACTTTTTCTCATTGGTTGGGGAATTTCAAGATGGCTGCCGAATGCTTGAAGCAGGGTTTTGAGCTCTAAGGCCAACTCTAAAGCAAGTTTCTGCTCTAAGGCATTTATTTTTATCTTCTATTTTACTTCTTAACTCCTTTTAGTGCTTCGTTTTGTTGTTTTAATTTATTGTTTTATCTCATTGTTTTATTGTTCTAATTCGGAAGCGGCGTCTCTTCCTCTCGAGGCTGGACGAGGTAAGACGCATTTGCCGGAGTTCATTTCGAATCCTCCCTAAAATTTGTGCTGCGGCTCCCAGCCTTTCAAGTTTTTGATGAAGATTGTATCAGGTTGTTGGAGCCCATGCCAGGAGTTCACATTGCTAAGAACTGTAAAGCCCGCATCGTAAATCAGCTTTAATGAGCAGATAATTGCAGTCTCCGGCAGCCTTGGAAGCAGCCTTCGACTTACTGGTTTTCTGCTAGCTCACATCCAGCTGTATTTTTACTTCTACTACCTTTTATTATCTTTTAAGCACTGCTATTTTAAAAGACTCATAATGATGGGCCAAGGCAAACGCCTAAGGGATTGTGACGAGACTCTGCCCTCCCCAAGAGCCAAACAATTAAAAATCGATCCCCCCGTGTCTGACAAACGGAGTGACCCCATTGAACTCTGCTATAGGGTGAAAACTCAGAACCGTTTCTACCCTCTAATGTCTCCAGAAACAACGTCAACACCAGAGGAATTATTTTTCCCCCAGACTAAAACTGTGGACGGCAAGCTTGGAGGAAGAGGGAGTGTCCCATTGAGGGTGGTGCAGGACGCTGGAACTGAGGACTGCGCAAGACAAGAACAACATGAACATCTCCATCTTGTGGTCAGAACCCTTAATTGCATATTCAAGAAGATTGATGTGCTAGCCTCCCAGCTATGTAACCTCGAACAGAAAATGGATAACTTCTGGTCAAAGTTCAAACCAACTGTAGATACGGGGAATTGAAGTGCCAGAGGTCCTTGCCTTCTACTAAAAAAGAAGTGTGATCCCTAAATATAAACCAAATCCTGCACTGAAACATCAAGCATTGTCCCTGCAACCTAAGAAAATCTGCCTAAACATCGGGGCAGGGTCACCAAGGTGGCTTACTCTGAGTGGGGTTAAAAGCACCTAAGCAATCTCCTAAACATAGAAATCTCACAATGTGATCTCATTGCAGTATTACCTTTGAACCAGCACCTCGGGCAACAGAAAGTGATGCTTGCGTTTTACTCTCCAAGGATCCCTTCAGCTATCATCAGGCAGAAACCACTCTTGGCAAGGTACGATATCATCCCAACAAGAGTTTTTATGGATAGCATGATCCACCCCCTCCTACTTGCTGGTCACGGTACGGAGTGGACTCTGTCGGAGAGGTCGGGAGTACCTCGGGACATCGAGCCTCCTCTTCTGGAGGATATCCATCCGCACCGAAACTGGACTCACCCTACGTCCCCACGAGCTCTAAAGAAACCCACTGGCGCAAGTAATTCTCTGACCCCGCCGGAGGAAAGAGAGCTTTTAGCCACTTTTGGCGACCTTCCACCGAGAGAACAACAAGAAATAATTGATAGACTAGAAGTACTTAATCATCAGCTCATACACGTCCAGAAGAACGGAAAAGTCCTGCCCACTCTTCAGGATAACTCCGCCAGCTTTTCGGAGTCGTGGTTTAAGGGAGCAGGAAGTCTTCCATACCTTAGTCCAGCTCCTAAACCCATGCCTCCCCCACTCGTGGGCAAAACCCACCGATGCTTGGTAGAACCAGGTTTTGCCCCTCAAGCTGGCCCCTCATCCCAACTCTTGATAAATTTTGACTCGCCCTCCAAGAGTCCCCCGCTGAGGAGTGTAACCCAGAGTTCCTTCCACCAAAACAACTCCTTACCATCTAATCCATCAATGCCGGAACTGGAGTCCTCATACTCCCCTGAGCAGCATAGACCCGACATACATACGGTACCAGTACGCCGAACATCCCCTGTACCTTTGCCAGCATTAGGTCAGGGGAGTGTCCCACCTACATCAAAAAATGGCCCGGATTTGATTGAAGACCCGACCGGACATATAAACCAAATGGTTTCATCGGCGATCTTTAGACCTTGCGATGGGGCAGTCCCAGCAAATCCTATGGAGTTTCCCACTGAAGTGTCCGCTCTTGGGTTAGCCAGTGGGAGACCCGTTTTGTCGCCCCAGTCAGAATACCTCACTACCAACTTCAAGACTAGGTACCTTCAGCAGGTGCCTGCTATGCAAAGTAAAATAACTGACTTTTTGTGGGGTCTGCCTTCCCTCCAAAGGACTCCCATCCCTCCCCGAAATGACAACGAACTGGTTACAACAGGAACTCCCCCCTATCAGTCCTCAGTTGGAACATTGCGGGCTGGAGGGGGAAAAAACTTGACCCAGAATTCTTGGAGTATATTAACCTGTTTCATATCATCTTGTTCCAAGAATCGTGGGAAGTAGAGAGAATTGATCTAAATGGCTTTGAGCTTCTAGAACTCCCTGCCTGCCCCTCCCTGAAAGGAGGCCGCCCTAAAGGGGGCCTAATAATAGGCATCTCCCTCAACTTACATTCTAAATTTACTCTAGTACAGGCCTTGCCTCCTTACGCTCTTACCGGGCTGATTGCGGGGAAAAGATCTCACTTCTAGTTACAAATGTTTACTTGCCACCCGGGGTTCTTCCTCTGAACTGGGCTCTAAATGGGGCTCGCTAGAAGAGCATTTGCTCTCATGCTATGTCAAGTTTCCTAACACCCCGGCCATAATAGGTGGCGATTTTAATGCCCGCACAGCAGCAAATTGGGACTCGCTGACCAAAGCCAAATGGTGGGTTACCCCAAACCTTGATAATTATGATCTGGAACATATCATGAGGAGAACTTCTAAAGACCAACGAGTTAATGAGGCTGGAGTATTCCTCTACCAAATGGCCATCCGTTTAAATCTGGTCCCCCTAAATGGCACATGCCTCCCTGATATTCCAGGGGATTTCACTCACCTGAGTGTTAAATCAAACAGCGTCCTCGATTACCTGCTGGTCTCCAGTGATCTACTTAAGTGTATTTCCTCCTTTAAGATCGAGAATGTACAATCTAGTGATCATCTTCCCCTTGTAGCCAAGCTTTCCCTGAATTGGCAGTTGGAGACCTATAGACATGCGACCCAGATGGTAACCAACGTATCTCTTCAAGTAAGAGGAATCAAATGGTCGGAGACCCAGGCTCAAAGGTATCAGGAATTCTTTCAAAAGAAATCCTCGGGCCCCATCCCTACATAGGCTCTGCCTCAGATGAGCATAGCATAGTGTTGAAACGCTTCCACCATCATACGACGGACCTTACGTCCTTCTTCAGGTTACCACCCAAAATATTAAATCGAAACGAGTATACTTACGGTGCCCCCTGGTATAACTCTCAGTGCAAACAAGCAAGACAGCGCCTTCGTGCTATATATAATGTATATAAGACCTCCGATGCATCTACTCTGCCAGCTAGTTATGCACAAGCCAAGCAAGTTTATAAACGCACGCAGAAAATTGCCAAACGTGAGTGGCAACATAATCGCTGGCAGGCCTTGATTACTGCTTCAAAATCACATAGATCCAGGGAATTCTGGTCTCTGATTAACAGAAGGGTGAGGAAATACCCAAGGGCAGTCATCCCTGCACCGACATGGGAATTGTTCCTGAAGAAATGTTTCTCACAGGCAGATGCTCCCTCCGACCATCTGATGCATCTGTTCTCCCACCTACCTATTTGGCCTCCCACCGATCCTGACGAAATAGCCAAGCTAATAGCCCAGCTGAAATTGGGCAAAGCCCCAGGGCCCGACCTGATCCCTGCTGAAGCCATCAAACTACACCCAAAATGGTGGGCTGGCATCTTGGCCAAAACCTTCGACGCAATCAACGCTTCTGGTATCATCCCCAAAATATGGAAGGAGGCCATTATAGTTCCAATTCATAAAAAAGGTTCTCCAATGGAGCCGGAAAATTACCGTAACATCAGCCTCCTTTCGATCATAGGGAAAATTTATGCCAGCTTTTTGCTGACGAAACTATCGCGATGGGTAGATGAGACTAACCAGATTGGCCACGAACAAGCAGGGTTCAGAATTAAACGCTCTACAACTGATCATGCGATAGTTCTTTACCATCTGGCACGGAAGTACTCCTCCCCTCCCGGGGCTATCTGTGTGCTGCCTTCTTAGATCTTAAGGCAGCCTTCGACAGCGTTCCTAGAAATATTCTTTGGGAGAAACTTGCGAAACAGGGCATCGATAGAAGGCTCTTATGGCTTATAAGTCAGCTCCACGAAGGTACCCTTGCCAGAGTGAGACTTACTCCTGCGGGCGACCTCACAAATTCGATACCAATAAACAAGGGAGTGCGCCAAGGATGTATATTGGCCCCCTGCCTATTCAATCTATTCATCAGCGACATGCGAGCACCCCTAGTCAACTCATCTCCAAGTACACATGCGCCTAGACTAGCGGATTACCGCTGTCCACTCCTTTTATATGCGGACGACGCGGTAATTCTATCTTATACACGTGTTGGACTAACCAGAGCTCTGAAGATCTTTGCCACGTATTGTCAACTCAACCAATTAACCATCAATCATGCTAAATCTAAGATTCTGATTTTCGCCAGAAGTCGGAGATTATACGAATGGAAGCTTGGTGGAGCAAAAATAGAGCAAGTCCTAAAATTTCAATACCTAGGAGTTATTTTTCAATACAATTTGGGGTGGAAAGCACATATTCAACACCTACTTAATAAGGCCAAAACTCTGTCATATGCGCTCCTCCGATTTTTCTTTTCGGATGGAGCTTTGCATGTTCCCTCGGCCCTAAAGGTGTTCAAGGCAAAAGTGGTTCCCGTGCTTGCTTATGCTGCCCCGCTCTGGGTCGTGATGACAGACCTTGCTCCTCTTGAGACTTTGCAAAACCAATTCCTACGTCGGCTCCTAATGCTCCCCTGTGCGTAAGCAACGCAGCCATGCGTTTAGAATTGAGGATCGCATCCTTAGAAACCTGCCTGTGGAAGCAAGTCTTCAATTATTGGTTATCATTGTGGCATAGATTACCAGACCATTACCTTGCCCAATGCTTATGGCGAGATGAATTCCCCAGCCTTTGGACCAGTAGAATTCATGCCAAACTCCTGAGCTATGGAATCTCTCCCTTAGATTCCCTAAAACTAGATCAAATCACTGCTCAAAGACTGATCCGCCAAAGACTGGATGACATCGATTTACAGCAAAATTATATGCTGGGGGGAGGTGTTTGTTCGCCCCAGAACATTGGTATCACTTTAACTTATTGCGTTCCATCATACCTCTCCTCCCTTTCGACTGTTGCCCATAGGCTGGCCTTCACCAAAGCGAGGTTTAATGTTTTTCCCTCCAATGTCCTGAGACATAGATTCTCAAAGGGCCAAACCTCCGCCATGTGCGAATGTGATAAGGAGATGCCGGAGTCGCTTCAGCACATTATGTTCACTTGCCCCTTATTTAAGGTGCCACGGGCAAACTTGTTGGGATCAATCATACAGAAATTAGAGGGTACTCCACCAAAATTCCACCTTGCCCAAATCTTGCAGGATAAGGATGCCCATACGACCCTGAAAGTGGCTAGGTTCCTGGTCGCTGTCCTTACCCAAAAGCGTCGCCAAGGAGCACCACAAGCTAATTAAGGCGTAGTATGCCATTCCATCTTATAGTAGCTTATTGTTATAGTATTGTTTTAGCGGCTGTTTTTTTCCCATGTGCACAGGCTGTTATTTATGTCTTGTTTTTATCTGTATGGGCCTACGGCCGTAATAAATTATTATTATTATTATTATTCTCATTGGTTATTTGCTCTGATTTGTTTGCAGGGTGCTTATGCATGTGTCTGTTAGTCATTCATCCATCACACACTTTTCAATGCATTTCCCCATCACTTTTGAAACTGCAGAATTCCGGTTCTTTTTAAAAAAGTGGATTTCTTGTGCTGGGGCAACAGAGCCCTTTAATCTGGTTTAACTGTGCAAACCTAAAGTTCCTGTATTTTATTGAATTTATCTCTCAAAATAGCGACTGGAGGCACCACTCTATAATGATTTTGTAAGTCTTTTTTGTGCCACAGGACTATTTGTTGTCCACATTGCTTAACTCATACCTAGAAATGTTTTGCAGACTTGTGCACAAATACTGCCAATTTGCAACTTTTCATAAAGTGCAATGGAAAAATATTTGTGAATGAAGTGGCAGCGTGTTTGTAGTAAGCTTGCATAAAGAACATTGCTTGCATTAAAAATTGCACAGCTCTCTTTATTTTCTAGTTCACAGTGAAAAATAAGGCTTTAAAACATGCTTTAAAAACACATAAAATGCTGAAGGCACAAACAGCTGTTTCATCTACTTTATCATAGAGTTTGCCCACTCTGTGCCAATGTCCTTGCTTACAGGGATATTTTGCATAGATTCTATAGCCACTGAGTTTTATTTGAATTGTTCCTTGTAAAAAAAAAAGGGAGAAGCGGAAAAATAGGGCACAAAGTCCTTGTTGACAGAGCTGGCATTAAAATGCTGGCAAGAATACAAGAGAAGACTCAATCTATACAAGCCATCAGTTCTGGATGATATGCAGCAGGGGATCTTAAGGGAATTAATTAATGAACATTCTTCATCAACTGACAATTATTTTTTGAGGAGACTTCAAGAATCATCGAGGTATTTCTATGAAAACCAAATGTGATAAAAGTAGTATTCTTAGTACTGTCTAATGGTAAAAAGAGAATCTTTGAAAATGCCTCCTAACATGTAAAGATAAATATTATTATCAAATAAAAAGCAGGCATTCTGCTATTCAGTATAGTGAGAATTTATTTTTTATTTAAGATTCTTTATAGATTTCATAGTTTATGTTTACCTCAGAAATAGAGATCAGTAGTTTCTGAAAAATCTATGGTTATGAACAGTGTCTCTTAATTACAGAAAATACACTTAAAAATGTCATGAGTAACATAAATATTCAGAAATAAATGCTCAAGTAGTTAAGTTACGTTTTTAAAAAGAGATAAAGAGTGAAAATGCAAAACAATAAAACAAAACCAATCATTCCAGCATCTGGCTGCCATTTAATATTTAAGCTTTAAATCTTTGGCAGAAGATTTTATAAAGAATGTTTTAAAATTGCTGTAAAAGAAACAAGATCATGTTTCTGTTTATTATCTATGTAAACTGAAACCACACACACACATAACACCACTTACATTTAACTTTCCAAAACTACATTTCATGAGGAATTTTTGTTTGCCTGTAAACATGCATGCTTTTGATTTCTTTGGGGAATTTATACACATCATTGGATAATTTGATTTTAAGATAATTTCCTGTTAGACATGTAGACATGAGCCTGAACACATGGATTTCAGGAGAGGGGTGTGAGGTGGAGCGTAGAGTGCCAGATTCTTGACATGGTAGTCATTTCCTTGAGTCCTCTGAAAGTCCCTCAGCAGCTGCTTTCAACTAGAGTTGGGAAATCCGTTGAAATGTGCGACAACTGCTCTTTTGGGTACTGCATTTCTCTAAATTATTCTGAAGCATGTCAGACATAATACACACATAGACACAAAAAAAGAGGAACATTTCTACTTGTAAAATACTTAAGGCAGGTGGTTAGGCTACTTATCCATTATCTTGGAGCTAGGTCAAGGAAATCTAAAATATATTTGGACCAATGCTTAAAAAGTGCTGCACTGATTCTTTCCTGCAAGTGCTTAATATAAATTAATATTTATTTCATTTATATACCACCTTTACGCCCCCAAGAAGCCATTTTATCCTCATTAACAGCCCTTTGAGGTAGATTAGAGTGAGAGACAGTAACTGTACCAAGGTCACCAAGTGAGCTTAATGGCTGAGTGGGAATTTGAACCCTGGTCTCCCAAGTCCTAGTCCAACACTCTAACCCCTACACCATAGTTTTTAAGTGTTTTAAGATTGTGAAATAGTACCTGTGGTCCAAGGAGCTATTTTTCAGTCTTCAAAACAGTAAGTCTTACTCCAATGAAGAAGGAATTTAAAAATGTAAAAAAGTACTTTTCTCTCTATTCTCAAAACAACGCTGTAGGGGAGAGCACTTAAGTAGACTTCATACCCATATCACATCACCCACATTTTAAAAAAATATTAAATGCCCATCTTTTGCCCCTCACTTTTTCCTATTTTCTCCTAAATTTCATCTACCTGTTCATCAATTTTCATATTTTATTTTTATATTAAAAGATTCCTATATAAAATTAAAAGATTATGGTTCCACTAGTTCCCACTTTATTTGATGGCATGACCCTGTTGTGAGTCCTGAACGACTAGTCAATGCAGCAACAGAGAAACTATTAGCTGAAGTGATAAAAGCATAAGATGACTGCTGGAGCAGACCAAATCCAAATCCAGAACCACGTTTTTCCCAGTTGCCAACCAGATTCCCCCTGGAAGCCCAGAAGTAGGATATGAAGGCAAGAGCCCTCTCATTGTTTCACAGCAATGGATGTTCCGAGGCATATTGCCCCTGAATCTGGAGATTTCATAAACCTATAATCGATTATATCCAATATTATTCACACTCAAAGTAAACCCATTGATTTTAGTGGACATGATTAACATGGGTACATTAATTTCAGTGGGTCTACTCTGAGTAGCACTTAAAATACAACCTTTGGACAATAGTGATTGATAGGTATATCCTATATGAATTTGTCTCTTAAATCATCAAAAATAAGAGTTATTCAGTTAACAATTTATTTATTGGTGTAACATGTTGTGTTAAGGGTTTTCAATCTTTACATGACCTCCAAAATGCTTGGAAGTTGCAGCTGTTAATTGCTACATCCTTAACAGATGTGACTATGGCATATGGTTAGTTTCAGCTTCACCACATTCTTGGAGCTAGTTACCTGTCGGTGGTAGAGTGTTGAGTCAAAGTCCCATATTTGTCTGTTCACTGGAATAAACATGTGCAACAGAACTATCATGCTTCTGAAGCTACCATTCCACGTTACAAGCACCCCAGCAAGTCCAATTGGGGCAGAGGAAATACACAGTATGTGTCAAAACTCATTCATGCTTAACTCATTCAAAATATGTCGTTTCATATCCTTTCTACTCCAAATTCAGCATGGAGCATCCTCATACTTTCCTTTCTTAACCTGCCAAGTTTCAATCCAATCCAATGGAGCATTTTCTAACAATCAGCCATAGAATCTACTGCCCCCATTTCTCATTATAAGGGCACAGTGCAATTCAGTCAGCTGCAGCTAACCATATAAATCAGAATAAGGCCCAAACTACACATGACCATTTGCAGACAACATAGTGGGCTGGCATTGCTTATTTGACCTCTCACAGGTGAGTCGCCGCTGCTTACCTGGAATGGTGATGAGGTGGTCACAGTGCAAGTGCATCGGCTGAGTCAGGCTTGTACTCCTGCAGTACAAGCCTAACTGGCCAATGTCAGGCTTAATCCTCCCTACCCCCTTACCCCACCCCCTTCTGGTAAATTGCAGCAATTCACCTGCCAGGAGGTCAGGTAAGCATCTCTGTCCATCACACCATCTGCTATGGCATGTTATGCTTAATGCGTGGTATGCAGCTGTTTCTTGTTTTTCTTTAATTAATTACAGTCATTATTTGGTGGATCATAGTGCATAGGGGGAGGAAGTTTATCCCTTCACTTTCCACCTGTGATTCTGCTAAAATCAGGTTCTCACATGCAAATAAGTTTAAAAGTTTCTATTGACGCCAGTGGGAACTTTTCTTCTTTTTCTTTTTAAGCCTTAACACCATAAAGGCAAGTGATTTTCATGGAGGAGGATTTGGCTGTGAAAGAAAGGCATAATCCTTGTTTCCCAATTTGATGGACCCAGTAACAATCCTCCCCCTCTCCCAGTGGCTGCAATTAATTAAAGAAAAGCACAAGAGGTATGACTGAATGCCGAGTTTAAAATCAAGAGAGTTTCATGTTACTCTAAGCAGATGCAAGTTTGCTAGCAATGGCCTTATCATTCTCACAAGGAATTATTTGTTCTGTAGAACAGCTTTTTAAAATACATACATAGTCTCTGCATTAATTTCTGTAAATGAAGCTGTAAGGATTGAAGTGAAATAGAAGGGAATCAAATAACACATGGAGGTGACTTGAAGAAGGTGGGATGGTGACAAAAATAACAGACCTGAGATAATGGATTTTATGCACTCAGTATGCATTAAGCCTATATAAAGCAATGTAAGTAGGCAGTGAAATATCAGGAAACAATTCCTAACAACCGTGTCTAAGGGGCTGTAGTGTACAATAACCTCTCCTGGGAAAGCATGGAGGGAGATCCTATCACTTGAATTATTCATAACAATAACAAAAATGAACATTTGCAAAAGAGCGTATAAGAAACAATCTTAACTTTATAGAGTGTGCGCACAAATGGATCCAATATGCTTTTCCTGTCTGTGATACGTATGACATTGTGGCCCCGAGGGATTATGTCTGTTTTCCTGAAGGTGACTTGTTATTTCTTTCTTATAATTAAAAAGTTGTGTTTTGTTGCACAGAAATATGGTATGTACTCTGAAAAATAATGAGACACTGGGAACCATTGGATTGCCTGGTAAGTGTGTCCTACAAAAATACTCTTCCAAGTCTATTCCTATTCTACAAGGCAATATAGAAATATAGAAGATACTCCCTGGTCAGAGCACTTTAACATATATTCTATCCAGATTTATGTCACCACATCTAGGAAACTAGCTAGAAAAGAAGAATAAAAAAATCTTCAAGCAAAAAGGAGTATGCCAGGCTATATACTTAACAAAAAACACTAAAAGTATAATGGTGGTGCCTAAATTTAAGTGTGATGAGCAGTGCAAAAGCAATGTAAAATGTAAAAAGGACAGGTGGGCATGAGGGTAAGGGAAATTGGTCTATATCTGTAACAGCAAAGTAGGGATTTATGCATCTCTCCAATTATTTGAGGGAATGATGGAGAGAAAAATATTTGGAGTCACTACAAAATCCAGAAACAACCGTCACAGAACTTTAGCTTAATGGTTGCCATCAATTTGATTTTAATTAATTTTTATAATGAAATGTTTTTAGAATGTTGCACTATTTTATTGTTGCTAGCCGCCCTGAGCCCGGCTTCAGCTGGGGAGGGCGGGATATACCGGTAAATAAAATTTATTATTATTATTATTAGAATACACACAAAATACTATTTATAAATATATATATAGATCTATAGTGCAACTAGACCAGCCTTTCCCAGCCTGGTGCTCTCCAGGTGTTTTGAACTACAACTCCCATCATCCCTGACCATCAGCCATGATGATGAAACTTGTAGTTCTAACATCTGGAGGGCACCAGGTAGGAGAAGCCTGATCTAGAGTACACAGTTTCTAGTTATAAAAAGGAAGTGTACAAGCAAGCACAGATATGCCTATTTTGTACAATAATTTTTCAGTTCTGCTGTTCTTTGAAAGATGAAAAGTAAAATGCCATTTTGAAGTTATATTTCTGCATTAAAACATCCTTTAATTAGATCAACATAAACTTAAAAGAGTTTTCAGATCACACAATTAGGTTCCCCTGTAAAGTTTTCTCCATGCTCCTATTAGTTTACATTTTCCTCACACTCTCAGGCTTGTACTCATAGCATAGTACTCATATAAAGACAGCTGACCACTTTCGGCGACAGAGGTAATTGTGGTAGAGCTGGGTGGCATCAAGAGTTCCTTTCCATGCAGCATGTTGGCTCCGTCATCGGCCTCAGCTGGTCTCAGGAGTCAACAGGATTTCCTGCTGAAATCTAAAATTGAATTGGACCAAGTGAAGCGAGTCTTAACTTGGATCTGCCTCTACAGAATTTAAACTTGTGTTGGGAGCCCCATTCACCTTCCCTGTGGCAGTGCCTGTGTATGACTTTGCTGTGGAATAAATTGGTTGCCATATTTGGAGCCAGGGAGGAATCTGCACCTGTCTGGGGTTTTTGCTTTCCTCATAGTTTAAACTAGACCCACCCCTTATCTAGGTACAAATTTCAAGGTCTCAGTAAAGGGGTCCAGGGGGAGGCCATAGAATTCCCCAGATGGTTACCTGGTGGGATCGCCCTATTTGATTTGCATGATAAGGAGATTCTTAATCCAGAATCAACCCTGATGGAATAATCAGCCAGCAATTGGGCTAGCTGATCCAGAATACATACCCAGTGCCTGTGCCAAAGTCTAGTGATATCTGTAATCAACAATGTTGTGGCCATTTCGATCTGAAGCTGTTGTCATGTCATTTCATGCCTCCTATTCCCTGCCCCCCAGTGGCCCCAGGCTTACTGAGCCTGGGGCCAGAAATACATGTGAGAGAATAAGACAAACTATAATAATATATCACTATGTCTATAACAGAATTGTAGCTGCATCTGGCTGGTATTGATCACCGCTCAGCGCCACAATTCAACTAATTGGTATACAAATTAATCCAACACGAATCCATTCAATATTCCAGGCCCCATAAAGGTGTGAATATATTTTTCATGTTAGAATTTTCTAGGAAACTGTGATTGATACAGTGTTCTAGTTAAATTCTAGGAATATGGTATTTTAACAGACATTAAGATAATCAGGCTTCGTTTCCTTAGTTAAAAATGAAATTCCACAGTGTACAAAGGCCCTCCATGCTGTGACATTGTTTTGATGCCAATATAAGTCAAGGTACATAAAATTTTAATAGAAGATTTTGCTTCAGATATATTGCAGAACTGATGCCTTCAGTGTTATATAATGGCCTATCACATTTCATAATGATGCTCCATGTTTAAGCAGCTTATAAAGGATGTATGAATACTATAAACAGCTTATAAAGAATTAATACATGAATATTAGAATGAATCAATTATAGATTGTTACAGACTCCAACAGGTTGTTCACACTTTGATTTATAACATACTGTACTGATGTGCTTACAACTGCCTATAACTCAATAACACACAGTGGTCATAGCTGTTACATGCTTATAACAGCTATTAATCTTTTCTTGGCCCTTTATAAACTATTTATAAGCAGAACTTTAATATAAAGTGCAACCTAGATGTTCACCTCCATCATTAGTCACTAGTGTAGGCTCCTTCTGGCATATGCTGAAACTTCTGGATGTAGGTATGTAGCCCTAGCATTTTATCTTAAAAGCTGCTCTTTAATTTTCCAAATCAGTGTTTGACACAGTTGCATTGTAAGCTGGAAGTTCAAGCTTGCACATTGAAAAATTTGCACCCAAATCTTTCCACATTGCTTAATATCTGTATGAATATGTGAAATTGCATTATGCTGTGTCAGGTCACAGGGCCATTTAGCTCAGTGCTATTTACTCAGACTGGCAGCAGCTCTCCAAGGTGCTTAAGCAATAGTCTTCTGTGACATTTTTTTTTTAAAAAACCCATACAATTCTATTTCAAAATTAAGTTAAAAGTACAAGCAATCAAAAGGGAGCATGCACACAACACAAGGGCACTGATGAAACAAAGAAGGAAACTTCAAAGCACACTAATGATCATGGAGATTGAACATGGTACCTGTTGCATACAAACCATGTTCTACTAGTAAACTATAACTTAATGATGCGAACAGGCTTCCTTTCCCTAAAACACTTGCAGAATAATGTTCAAGGGAAGAAAAGAGAGTTTTGACATTGTCAGCAAAATCTTTGTGATGTGGTATAATGAGCACATGAAGCTGCCTTATACAGAATCAGAACACTGATCCATATAAGCCCTGTATTGGCAATGGCTCTTCAAGAGTAAGAGATCTTTCCCAGTCTAGCTGCCTGAGCTCCTTTATGTTGGGATGGGAAACATTTGACATTCCTGATATTGTTGGGCTACCATAAGAAGCCCTAGCCATTGGCAATGATGTCTGAATTCCCCACCCCTGTTTTAAGCGGAGTTGCCAGGGGTTGAACCTGGTGCCTTCAGCATGCAAAGCAAATGCTCTGCCACTGAGCTATAATTCATCATGCCCTTTATGCTCCTTATCGTCAATGTCTAGAATGATCACTCCATAAATTGCGCCCCGAGGCCCCCCAAGCCCTTTTCCAGTACAGTGGTACCTCGGGTTAAGTACTTAATTCGTTCCGGAGGTCCGCTCTTAACCTGAAACTGTTCTTAACCTGAAGCACCACTTTAGCTAATGGGGCCTCCTGCTGCCACAGCACCGCTGGAGCACGATTTCTGTTCTCGTCCTGAAGCAAAGTCTGTAACCTGAAGCGTATGTAACTCAAGGTACCACTGTAAATAACTTCAAATGGACACATAATTTTAGTTTAAGTTTTGGGCAAAATTTGGCCACAGCTTTATTGATTACAAAACAAACTGAGTGGTATTGGCCTAGGCAATGGTCAGGGACTATAAATGACTCCTGCCTCTCTGGCTGGCAGTCTGAAAGGGTAAACACCAAACGAGGGAGCAACATAGGTGAAGATCGATTGAAGCTCACCCCGGGGTTCCTGTGGTCCTAGCATGGCCCTAGTCCCTCAAGCGGACTTCGGACGAGATCCAGGACCCCCAGATTCCTTTACTGGAATACCCTATTTCTGGAGGGGCAGGTAATGGCCACACCTCCCCTCCAGCATATTTCTATAAACCAATGCCTAACCCCAAACCTTACAAAGTTGTGACGATTGCTAAGGGGGTAGGCGAAAACCAAGTGGCCAAGCCAATCCGCCAAATGGAAAAAATCCTACCCAGCCCCTGCTCCAAAGCAGGCGACCCAATCCAAAGCAAGGCCAAACAGCAACACCTAAAATAGGGAGGGAGGGAGGGTGTTCGGCAGCACAAAGCAAGTGCCCCATCCCCATCACGCTGCTGCATTTATAGGTCCCTGGGATCACACCCACTTGCCCCATTTGGTCCAAACAGCCAAGCGCGATCCCAGGGCCCAACAGACAAGGCTTGGGCCATGCCTAGCAACAACACACACCTTGGGGGTGGCTTAAGGGTCCCGAGTGCAACCAGGACCCTCAATTTAGGACAATCCCATTTCCATTGTCTTTTTAATGGGAAAAAGGTCCAGGCCAGAACCAGTGTCAGACATCACCTATGAGCAACTCAAGGGCTGCAAACTTGGCAGGGTTCACCAGCACTGATATCTACCCTGTGCCAGGGGGCTGAGTCTGGTGGATATAGTGTCATTCTGGTGCACTGTGGTAAATTAAAAGGTGGCTCCTGCCCAGCACTGATTGAAATGCTACTATCAGCTGAATCCACTGGTATAGGTGGAGGCATAGGTGGGGGACATGTTGCCAAGGGACCCCTGAAGACTGGAGCATCCTTGGCACAGTCATACTGATATAAGACGGTGAGAGACAAGTGTTGCAAATCATTGCAAGAGTGTGTTATTTAAGAATGGCACGTGTCATATGTAATTACTTAAGGATGATTCTTTAAAGATCAGCTAAGAATGACCAAGGGCAGAGATAATTTTCAAGCCACCTCACATTTTCAGGTTGGGAGTATACACTGAAATTCTTTTCTGGTGCTGCCATTTTTTCCAGGTGTTGACACAGTGGAATAGTGGAGATGTGCAATCTCATGCTACATAAAAGCTTGTGTACCTACTCCACAAATGCCTGAATATTCATTTCAGGAGAACAGCAGTGTCTGTCAGTCTACCCTTAACCCAATGCAGAGGCAAATAGATGGGAAATTAGGCTGTGGAGTGACGTTGGTGTGTTTTAATATTTGTAATGCTTCCAATATTTCAAGGTTCAGTAGCTATAAAATAGCAATTAAGCATCCTGAGCCCGCACTTTGTTATCATGCTAAATAACAGTATATGGTCCTAAGATTTTATTTCACAAGCCCTTTCCTTTCTTCATCTACTCCTTGTTTTCTGTCTTACTTCCTCTTTTGTGGAAAGCGCAGATTACAACTGAACCAGGCAAACCATACTTTGCGCGAATCATTGCTTGCTTGAAAATTGGAACTGTAGACCACAATTGAACTATAGTTTCCAACTTGGGTTTTTAAGCATTTTTTGGTTTGTATAAACAATAGTTTGCCCAGCTTAGATTTACCAGCAAACTATGGTTTGCTATGAAAGGAAAGACAGTATTTGCCTGTGTGATGGGAGACAGAAAACACAATTAACTTTCCTATGATTCATTCAGGTGGTTGGGTGTTATTTCTAAACTGAAACACATAAAATGAGGTTTTAGTGTTGAAAATAGCCTTTAGGCTCCCTTTAAATCTTTTGTCTAATTTAGGTAGATATCCAACAGTGCTTCTTTTCTACCAAAATGTATTCCCTCTGTGATATCATATGCTGATAAGATGTGGTATTAATCTTCCTATACAGCAATTGCTTAAAGATAACATATCTGACGTGGAAAATATTCTCATGATGATTAGATTGCCCTGTATCCAAAACTTCCAGTTTAGTGTATCTAGTTAGCAAATAGTTCCAAGTCAGATTATTAAAGCAACTGCTAAAATGTACTGAATGCAATTATACAGCAGTTGAAATCAATTCCTCAAAACACCACACACACTAGCATTTCTAGGGCTGATCCACTTTGATTGTAGTATAGGATATATATTTATTTAGATTAAGTTGTTATGCTATTGAGAATGACACTTGTACTTAGCTAAAGTGCAGCTTTAAAAGGTACTTAATATAATAGCTGATTCCAATACCATTACATTTAGAAATGCCAATACATATTCTTGACTAACTTGGCAGTACCAGTCAAACATTTTGAAAGGCAACAGATATAACCCAACAGATACAGATCTATCTCAGCTTGCCCAATATAATCTGTAGCAAAACATAGTTTTTTAATAGTTTAATAGAAAACAGTTGCCCAATATTATTATTGGGGTTTTTGTTTTGTTTGTTATTCTATTATGTATTTTTTTAAAATATTGTAAGCTGTCCTGTGATCCTCGGATGTAGGGCAATATAGAAATATAATAAATAATATTATTACTGATAATAATATGAAGAAATAAAAATCATTGTGGATTTCACTTAGCTAAGGCCAAATTCCTTAAAGCCAAAATGCTAATACCCCCCCCCCCAATTGATGGATAATAGATTTAGAATGAAGTAAAAAGTTCAGAATTTAATGTTCCATTCAGAAACAATTCAAATTGCCTGGAAACGTAACTTGAAATTGTCCATTCCATATCTCAAGTTCTGTATATTCCTTTAATTTATTCTATAAAATTTTGCAAATTGACACAATAAGAATAAAAAAATCTATTGGGGGGAAAATAGTACTGTACCAGAGGATCTGCAAGGAAAAACAATATATAAGGACCTGCTGACACCATCATTGAGGCTATATAATCCCATCTATTGGAAGGGTGGTGCTTTCATCAACCCCCCACTGCATCGGAGATCTTCAGTGTCTAGGTCTAAGTGAATTGCAGAAGTCATTTTGGTTTCTTTGACCAAGTCCAGAGTCTTGGATACTGCAGAGGATAACTTAGAGCTTCTGCCTATTCTTCAATAACAATACTCCCCTCTCTAATTACAGAGGAGTCGAACAGGGCTCAGAACAAACACAAGGTTGCATAGTTTATGATGTCTTTTAACGATATTGTACTTTCTATGTACTCTGTAGTTGTCTCCGAAGTTTAATAAACTCAAAACACTTAATTTTATTGCACTGAACTATTGATTATCTGTTTAACACTAAAAAACAAGGCAATCTCCGACTTTTGCCTCACTGACTGAGTGAATTATTTTAGAGTTAAAGAAATGTACATTACAACAGAGAATTCTTATGTACTCCAAAGTATTTGTTTTGTGCAAGACTGCTGGCTATTTTACAGAAATACACAAATGTTTAATCTTAGTCTTACAAAGGAAAGTCCTTTTATTGCTTCTCAAGTGAACTGGATATTCCCTTAGGCTTTACACTACCATTTAGGTTTCTGTTTCTTGATTTTATTGCCAACATAAGCTTATTTAAAGGAATGACATACAGGCTGTCTCTTTCGAAGGACAATTATTAAAAACAACCTCCTCCCTTTCCTCCCTCACTTTTGTTGTTGTTGTTGCACAGGGCTTCATTTGCAAATATCCAGATTTTCTCAATAGTAAGTGAGCTTCTTCTTATGATGTTTTACTGTAATTGAGGAATGTAATCAGTGACTTTTCCCTTAATTGGTGGTCTTGTTGTATTGTTATAGGTGTTCATCCATTTTGGTGCCTATGTTTTATACTTAATTTTGATATAGATTTACTTTTTTAATGATATTTAGAATATGAATAAAAACAAATAATTTGGCAAGATGACCTATCTACACAGATTTTTTCTAATTCCCATCTCATTTATTGGTCTCAATAGGAAGTTAGCCTTTTACACAAGTTCTGTACTGTATGTACTATGTGTGTGTGTATTATAAATTAGTTGGGCTTTTAAAAAAATACTCAACAATGCCTGAGAGGCATTGCGCATACATGGGCGTTTGATTCAAGAAGTGGCCCGGTCTGGGCAAAGTTCAGCTGAATTTCCAAATTCCCTGTATAAATCAGTTTAAAATGGATTCCTCCTCTATCCTTACTTCCTTTTAGTCAAAGAGGCAATGGATCTGGATCAGTTTCTGAAGGGAGTGATGGGGTGGATCAGGGTCAATAACCTGAAGCTGAATCTTGACAAGATTAAGGTGGATTAGGGGTGGGGGGTCTAGAAATTGGAGAGTTGGCCTGTTACGAGTTGCCCTCCCTTGAAGGAACAGGTATGTAGTTCGGAGTATTCTTTCATCCAATAGTCTCACTTGAGGACTGAATTCAGTTGGACATCAATGTGTACAGGATTGTATCCTTGGTCTGTTTGATGTACTCATACTGTGCTTTCAACAGCTGAATTACTGACAAAATATATTAAAGAAAATGTAGACTGTTGTAAAGGTTAGAGGCTTATTTTAACTGATAAAAGTTTGCTTTGAATACAGTATGGACAGCTGTTAATTAATATTTTATGTGCAGCTCTTGCAGCAAGTCATCTGTAAATTCTGTAATGTATATCAGATGCAAATAGCATAACTGATGTATAACACATGCTGGACTTATTTATTATGACTTTGGTGTCACCTCTTAATTTGTGATATGCCCTACGTTTGTTGTTCATTGAAGTGGTCCTAGAGATCCCCAAATCCCAAACTGCAGAACATGGAAAGCAATGCCTGCTATTGTGCCACACAGCTCTATGTATGTGCCACATAGCTACTGTGCAGATGTAGCCAAAAATCGGGTTAACAGCCCAGATCATTGATCTTGGGTGGCAGATTTTGGGATAGACACACTAATGTAGAGAAACAATGATTAGCCAGGGGTTCACCATTTCCTTCAGTAAGCAGCCCTGTCTGCTCCCCAGCCTGCCATTCTCCTTGCCTTTTCTTATACCTGGTGCCAAACTATACATAACACCATGTCTCTAAAAGCACTTCTGTCCCAGCCACAAGTTTTTGTACATCCTCTCTTTCCCCCTCCTCGCTGTGTAATTTAATTTTGAAAGTAGTATGTAGGTGGGTGAATGCTGAACTCAACTCCACTGTCTAGTTTAACCAAGTAATTTCCTCATACCCCATCTAGCTTTTCATACTTCGCTTTGCTGCAAGAAAGCAGCTGAGAGAGGAGTTGAAGGAGAGAAAGAGGCCAGGGTTGAGAGGGGGTTAACATCCACACCAACATGTCTCTTTTGCACTTTATAGACCCATTACTCCAGATTGGGGCAGGGAATCAGCTGGAATTTCAGTGCATAGATAGATAGCTTGATCTAGTTCACCCTCCATCAACCTGGTGCCCTCCATAAGCTTTTAAGTACAACATCCACCTGCGCCAACCAGCACGGCCATTTTAGGAATTCCAGATATATCATTTTCACTTACATTCACACTTGCCTTTGCAGGTAAATTATGAGAAAGTCTTCTGTAAGAAAAGTATGATATAATACTGAATATATATTTGTTTTATGAATGTATGTAGTACTTGCACCACCACCCATCTGTCCTCCCAGTTGAACGACGTGGCCCAGGGAGAGAGGGAAAATAGTGGAAGTGAACAGCTGGCTTCGCAAATGGTGTAAACAGGAACGGTTTGGATTCTTAGATCCACGGACTGCAGTTTCTTGAAGATGGACTTCTGGCAAGCGATGGGCTGCACCTCACAACGGTTGGGAGAAATGTTTTTGCCAAAAATCTCAGAAACCTCATCAGGAGGGCTTTAAACTGACTAATGTGGGGAGGGAGATAGTGCTCCTGAAGGTAGGAGTCTATCAATTGATGAAGATGATCATCCAAATGTCATAGACCAAATGGAGCAAACAGCACACAGACCTAGTGGTGGGAGGAAAAAATCCTTAAATAAGAGTCACGGGGAAATGATTAATGGACTTCAATGTCTGTACACTAATGCGCAAAGCATGGGAAATAAACAAGATGAGCTTGAGCTCTTGGTACAGCAAACTAAATATGACATAATAGGCATCACTGAAACCTGGTGGGATAAGTCCCACGATTGGAATGTAATAATGGGGGATACAATCTATTTCAGAGAAACAGACCAGACAAGAAAGGAGGAGGAGTGGCGTTATATGTCAGGGATGTGTATACCTGTGAAGAGATCCAAGATTTAGAACCTCAAAGCCAAAGTGAGAGCATTTGGGTCAAAATTAAGGGAGAGAAGAATAACGTGACCTCATTGTGGGAGTTTACTATAGATCCCCAAGCCAAACGGAGGACATAGATGATGCCTTCCTGGAACAGATGGCCAAGCATGCAAAAGGAAGGGAGATAGTAGTAATGGGGACTTCAATTACCCGGATATTTGTTGGATGTCAAACTCAGCCAAGAGCATAAGGTCAAACAGATTCCTCACTGGCCTTGCAGACAACTTCATTGTCCAGAAAGTGGGAGAAGCAACAAGAGGAACAGCCATTTTAGATCTGGTCCTAACCAATGTTGATGACCTGGTTAGTGGGGTAGAAGTGGAAGGATCATTAGGCGCAAGTGATCATGCTCTTCTGAAGTTTACTATACAGCGGAAAGGAGCAGCCAAGCATACTAGGACTCAATTTCTTGACTTTAAGAAAGCTGACTTCATAAAACTTAGGGAAGTGCTGGGTGAGATCCCATGGACAGTAATACTAAAAGGAAAGGGAGTTCATGATGGCTGGGAGTTTGTTAAGAGGGAGATACTAAAAGCACAACGTCAGGCAATACCAATGAGACGGAAACATGGAAGGTGCCTAAAGAAGCCAGGGTGGCTATCTAAAGAACTTTTAACTGAGTTAAGATTAAAAAGGATGTGTACAAAAATGGAAAAGGGGAATCCACCAAAGAGGAATTCAAACAAATAGCCAGCACGTGTAGACACAAAGTCAGAAAAGCTAAAGCACAGAATGAACTCAGGCTTGCTAGAGAGGTTAAAAGCAACAAAAAGGCTTTTATGGGTATGTCCGTAGCAAAAGGAAGAACAAAGAAACAGTGGGGTCACTCAGAGGAGAAGATGGTGAAATGCAAACAGGGGACACAGAAAGAGCTGAACTCCTCAATGCCTTCTTTGCCTCAGTCTTCTCCGATAAAGAAAACAATGCCCGACCTGAAGAATTTGGAGCAAATGATTCAGCAAAGGAAACACAGCCCAGAATAACTAAGGAGATAGTACAAGAATACTTGGCTAGTTTAGATGTATTCAAGTCTCCAGGGCCAGATGAACTGCATCCAAGAGTATTAAAAGAACTGGCAGATGTGATCTCAGAACCACTGGCAGTCATCTTTGAGAATTCCTGGAGAACAGGCGAAGTCCCGGCAGACTGGAGGAGGGCAAATGTTGTCCCTATTTTCAAAAAGGGGAAAAGAGAGGACCCAAATAATTACCGCCCAGTCAGTCTGACATCAATACCAGGGAAGATTCTGGAGCAGATCATTAAGCAAACAGTCTGTGAGCACCTAGAAAGGAATGCTGTGATCACCAATAGTCAGCATGGATTTCTGAAAAATAAGTCATGTCAGACTAACCTGATCTCGTTTTTTGACAGAATTACAAGCCTGGTGGATGAAGGGAACGCAGTGGATGTAGCCTACCTTGATTTCAGCAAGGCATTTGACAAGGTGCCTCATGATATTCTTGTAAAGAAGCTGGTAAAATGTGGTCTTGACTATGCTACCACTCAGTGGATTTGTAACTGGCTGACTGACCGAACCCAAAGGGTGCTCATCAATGGTTCCTCTTCATCCTGGAGAAGAGTGACTAGTGGGGTGCCCCAGGGTTTTGTCTTGGGCCCGGTCTTATTCAACATCTTTATCAACGACTTGGATGATGGACTCAAGGGCATCCTGATCAAATTTGCAGATGACACCAAATTGGGAGGGGTGGCTAACACCCCAGAGGACAGGATCACACTTCAAAACGACCTTGACAGATTAGAGAACTGGGCCAAAACAAACAAGATGAATTTTAACAGGGAGAAATGTAAAGTATTGCACTTGGGCAAAAAAAATGAGAGGCACAAATACAAGATGGGGACACCTGGCTTGAGAGCAGTACATGTGAAAAGGATCTAGGAGTCTTGGTTGACCACAAACTTGACATGAGCCAACAGTGTGACGCGGCAGCTAAAAAGCCAATGCAATTCTGGGCTGCATCAATAGGAGTATAGCATCTAGATCAAGGGAAGTAATAGTGCCACTGTATTCTGCTCTGGTCAGACCTCACCTGGAGTACTGTGTCCAGTTCTGGGCACCACAGTTCAAGAAGGACATTGACAAACTGGAACGTGTCCAGAGGAGGGCAACCAAAATGGTCAAAGGCCTGGAAACGATGCCTTATGAGGAACGGCTAAGAGAGCTGGGCATGTTTAGCCTGGAGAAGAGGAGGTTAAGGGGTGATATGATAGCCATGTTCAAATATATAAAAGGATGTCACATAGAGGAGGGAGAAAGGTTGTTTTCTGCTGCTCCAGAGAAGCGGACACGGAGCAATGGATCCAAACTACAAGAAAGAAGATTCCACCTAAACAGGAGTAACTTTCTGGTCAGTCTCACTGCATAACATTCTTCCCCTCAGTCTGCTTATAGCATCCGTTATTAAGAGTTCATTTTGTCATGGAATTAAATTGTAAGCCATGTCTCAATAAATCAACATCAAACTGTAAGAGGTGAGATCTCTTTAATCTGAACAGTTTCACAGTTTAAAGACAGAGTTTTCTTTTCTGTTTGTAGCATTTTAATTCCAAAGGGACAAGTGTGATTGCTTTTCGAGACTCATTTTAAGAATAATTTGGTTTGTGAGACAAACAGGCATGCAAGCGAAATGCTTTTACAGGGAAGGATGACATTTAAATTGCTATTGATCTGTGGAAAGTTCAGTTTGCATAGAAGACTGAGGATAAAGGATAACTTGGATGCTTTGAGTGTGCAAACTTTGGCCTTACCTGTGCTATACATTTAAACCAGTATTATAACACTTTAAACAGTCATGGCTTCCCCCAAATAATACTGGGAACTGTTAAGGGTGCTGAGAGTTTTTAGGAGACAACTATTACACTCACAGAACTCCAGTTTTCATAGTTCTCTGACATGAGGGATTCATTGTTCAACCTCTCTGCTGCAAATCACCCTAAGCCCCCTTTTGACCCTGCTGGTGTTTCAGCTGCTTCTGAATTTGCAGAATGGAAGCTTAAAACAACCTGCTTTCCATAAGGACCCTCATGTAAATTATACTGTTTCAGACTTAAAGGGAATAATCATAAACAATTTTTTTTGTTAATAATTGCAAAAGTGAGAAGTGCAAAGTAATCTAATTTGATTATAGTTTATTGCACAATACTTTGCGTCAGACTGATATGCTTTCTTATCTAAACTAACGGTAACTTAAGTCCTAAAATGCATACTTTAGTTAGATATATTTTCATTGGCACTTAAGAAGTTGCGTCCTTAAGAACATTTAGCCATTATCACATGGTCCTTTGGAAAAGGGATTCATTTTCTGTATTAAAAAACCCCAATTTAAATGAAGTGCATAGCTGAGTGTGTATCCACTCATCTGCTGCATCATTACAACATGGCAAACAGCTTGTCAATCCCTTCCCCACATCATCTGTACCTCTTAACATTTTCTGTTCTTTCTGCAAGCATTTAAGTACTAGGCTGCATTTACAAGAGGAAATGTGAAAGGAATAAATCTCAAACGCCAAAAACCTTGCCTTAATATACCCTGAAATACTTGATTCTCCATTAATGAAGGATAAAACAATTACACTACTTTGCCCTGTAAACAACACTGAGGAAATTCTGTGTGACTCATCCATTTTGTCAATGTTATAACAGAACGAAATTGACTAGCTAATGAGATCTTAATAGGTGCAGTGATTCTAAAGTAAAACTCTGTACTGGCAGACACTACATTATTGAGCTAAGTTCAAGGTATTACTGTTACTTTATACAACCCTAAATAGCCTAGGACCAGTTTCCCTGAATGACTACCTTGTGTCTTATACATTGGCCAGATCACTTTGGTCATCTGGAGAAGCCTTCCTGGCTGTCCTACAGTTATCTCATTTTTGGTTAGTTTCTGCAAACTAATTTTAGTGTGTTACTTTGGTGTGCAATTTGCATGCAAACCAGATACACACAATTCTGATATTTCTCCATTTCACCAAGCATTTCTAGACATTTCTGTTTTGCCAAGCTTTTTTAGAGAATTGATTTCATTCTTTTGTTCTTTTTGTTCTCTCTTTTATGATTTTATAATGTAATGTATTAGTAATATTGCACCTTGCCATGATATACTTTTCAAATGACTTGGTGGTTTAGAAATACTCTTGCAAATAAATAAGGTAAAATAGTATTTGCACATCTGTATTTGGTTCACATCTGGCTCATCCAGAAACACAGGATAACTCTGACATTTCCTTGCTGAGCTCTTCCTAGAACATGAATTGAGATAATCCCCTGCTAGGATGAAGAAGCTATAGGGAGCCATCTAGAAGAAGAAGAAGAAAATTCTCAGCAAATGACACCACTGCTGCAATTCCAATAATAGGTCCTCAGGTGACATACCTTCAATAAACCCATAGCTTTACATTTACACACAGTTACAATTTATGCAATTTGCATGAGAATTTACAATCACAAAGCTGTGTTATCCCAAACACTTTGGATCTGAAACAGCCCTGGCAACTTTCCAGATGCCTGGAGGTTACAACTAATTTGCATATTGATTTACATAACCATTTAAATTTCAGCATGACCCTGTTCTGCCAGAGAAATACACTAATAAAAAACAGAAATAGGGGCCTTCAAGCTGTGGGCTGGCTTGATACTTTTGCGAGCTCCTTTCAATTTAATTTAATTTATTTCTCCATCTCAATTTAGTCATTTATGTCCATAGCATTATGTTTATTCCTCCTTTTAGCTGTGAAATACTGCATTTGCCTTTTGTGTGCTCTTTAAAGGTGGTGTCATCAGCCTGTCTCTTGTATTCATCTGCAAGTTCTGTTCAGAACATACCTTGCACATGCTTCACAATATGTATTTATATATCCCGTGGAGAGTATCTTATGTCACTGTGCTAATTGTATGCTTATTGAGCTTTAGAGGGAAATTGGCCCTTTCTTATGTCCACTCATTTATGTAGCAGCTCCCTCTAATTATACTTCTGTTTATAACAGTCTCTCACACACAGATGAAGCACATACACCACCCACAGAGGGAAGTGGGGAGAATGGGAGATCTCTCTCTCTCTCTCTCTCTCTCTCTCTCTCTCTCTCTCACACACACACACACACACACACACACACAGCATAACTTGGGACCCTTCCAGTTGAATACAATCCAGCCATATATTGTGGCCTGCCAGGTGTTGACAGCCCTCTCCTTTTCGCAGTATTAGAGGCAAACAAGAACCACAATAGGTTTATCAGTTCCCATTTAGGCTGGTGAGAGGGCTGCTACCAAAATTTTCCTCATCTGAATTTCTCTCAGATTTTGCAGTTCTGAATTATTGGTCTTCCTTTCAAGATCAAAGTGGTACACTAGAAATAATCCATTGTTCTGTTCTGTTATTTTTTCCGTATCATTTATACACTGCTTGATTGGTTTTAAAACCAAACAAACCCTGAAAAGTGGTTTATTATTTCCAAACTTTATACAGAGTACTGTGCATGCACAGTTTGCTACAGCTTTCACTTATTACATTTGCACTGATGAAACACAGGGAAAGAAGTAATGTTTATTTGCTCATACATACAATTGCATCTAGATTCCTTTATGTACTACAGTATGTTTAAACCAATATTCATGTTTGATCCGCACTTAAAAGTGTCGGTGAAACACTGTAAAAAACTGTCTTGATCAGATTGTCTATCTGATTGCATCAATATTCTTTTTCAGTTGCATGCTATTATTTATTAGATTTCTTACCCACCCTTCACCCAGTGCAGGTTACAACAATATATACATTATTAAGATCCGTTAAAAAAATGATATTAATGCGCACATAAGTATAACACTGCACAAAAAGAAAGTTAATTAAAAACACTGCTATATAGCTGAACAAACATTCAGTCAAGAGAAAGAAAGGTGGTATATCCATAATTGACAAGGCAGGTCAAAGAGAGCAAGTACAAAACTGCAACTGCAGGAACATTTCTAATAATCACATTCAGGCTCAGCAACGAGAGCTGTTGGCAATAGCTATCCGTTGTAAAAAGGCAGTGGTTTGGTTATTCATTTATTCCAGACAGATGTCCTGATCTCACCAGGGGGCATACACCTGTGAAAGACAGAAGCAGGCTTCCATGCATGTATTCTTAGCTGGGAGGACTACATAAAGTAACAACTACATAAGTAAATGAATGCTGCATTTGCAACTCATCCAACTCGGTTGCTAGAGTTACGGTTACATAGCACCATTCAGAAAACCAACAGAAGCACCATCCAGCTGATGGAATGGGGCTGGGGAGTTAGCCTTTACCACACTGTCTTGACCTGAAACAGCTGATTGTGCTGTCATTTATTACATGGCTCATCTACTCTATGCACACAGAGGGGGCAGATATGGAAATGTCATTGTGCTTTTTAGATCAACATGCAGCCTAAGACTAAGAAAGGTAGAAAGATAATAGAGGGACAAAACTTATGTCCATTTGGCTAGATGTCTCTTGCAGCATAGCACCAGTTGCATATTGAAACTGTTTATTTGTCCTTATGAATATGTTTTTTAAGCATATGATCCCTCCCCCCAAAAAGTGTCTTGCTCAAGTAGTCATCATTGCATATAGATAAATAAAAGGGAGATTTCCTGTAAAGGATCAGTCCAAATGAAGTATCCTGGTAGGCAGTTATGCAGAAGTAATAGTGTTGGGAATGGGAAGATGGGAATGAAATTGATAAAAGAGCAGGAAAAGTGAAAAGAATGGGAGTGCTTTTATGGAATGCAGGGTAATACTGTGTGTTGTGAAAATAGGCATGAATTCCACATATTCATTGAAATATATAGTTAAGATGAATAAGCAGGACATATTTCAGGGAGGAAAAAACCAGCACATAAATTTTCCCCCTCTAGAAGTGACTGAATCAACGGAATCTTTATATTGCTCCCTAGCCAGCTGTGATGACTTACAGTTAACATTCCAGGATAACACTGCCATGTTCTAAAGGCTTACTCAGCAGAAGTATCCTAAGGCAAATACATGGTGCTTGTTCTTATGGGGTCAGTGTGAGCTGAAAATGCTTCCTACTATATTATCATCAATATTACTAGGTAGGGAATACAACCAAATTAAAACAGGGCTAGAATGACCTTGGGGTAAGTGACAAACACCTTTACTACAACTGTTCACAAGTGGCAATAAGTAATGGGACCTGCAGAGGTAGCCATCAAACGTAAGTAATTAGCTGAAGCAAGGCAGAGACAAAGATACATCAGGCTGGGAAGTGGGCCAAAAAAAGAGGAATCAAATCAGCAAAGGCCTAGTTGAAGAAGCTAATAAAAGCATTCTTGTTTATGGCATTAGACTTAGGAAGAATTATAGCCACCCCATAAAGGTGGGTGGGTGGATTTCCTCACTTTATTTTCAGAATTTTTATACATTGTCTCAGGCTGTATACATAGAAAAAGCAGCCAGAACATTCTTTTTATTGAATTGCAGCTACCGTATTTTTCGCTCTATAAGACGCACCAGACCACAAGACGCACTTAGTTTTTGGAGGAGGAAAACGAGAAAAAAAATATTCTGAATCTCAGAAGCCAGAACAGCAAGAAGGATCTCTGCGCAGTGAAAGCAGCAATCCCTCTTGCTGTTCTGGCTTCTGGGATAGCTGTGCAGCCTGCATTCGCTCCATAAGATGCACACACATTTCCCCTTACTTTTTAGGAGGGAAAAAGTGAGTCTTATAGAGCAAAAAATACGGTAATTTGGTGAGAAATGCATTGAAATGTAGTACAGTAGTACCTCTACTTATGTTCACCTCTGGTTACATATCCTTAGGGATATGTGCGTTGCAAACCCGGAAGTATTTTTCTGGGTTTTGCCACGCGTGCATGCGCAGAAGCACTCTACTGCCACGCGCACATGCACGGAAGCTGTCTACTACCACACGTGCATGTGCAGAAGCGGTCCCTCTGGTTGGAGAAACCTCGGGATCAGACCGGAGCTCTAGAACGGATCCCGTACGCAACTGGAAGTACCACTGAATTCTGTAAGAAACAACAGAATAGATGGAGGATAGATATGGATTATGTACATTACTTCCCAAACCATTGGTGGGAGCGTACTGGATGCTGAGTAAACAATAGTGTGTGTACAGTCTCAGTTCCACAGTCTACTTCTGTCTTTCAAATCTTTCAGATATATATAATTGTCTCTTTCAAATATATATAATCTTTCAAATCCTTCAAATACATATCACTCATTTCGGAAATGGCCCATGCACAGTTTGTCATACCTTTCTTTCCCATCAGTGTGAATTCTTCCATTTTCAAAGCAATTGTGAGCTTTAAAACACCAGGTATTTGGGCTTGTTTCCTCCCACATGCTCTGTGATAATGCTGCACCTAATCTAATCATATCAGCATTCCTTTTAGTTTATGGAAAGGTCACAGTTTGTTAGTCTGTATGCTATTGTTGATCCTGGTGTGCATTGTTTTACATTCATTTAAAGGCAGTTTAATCCCTCTCTTTGCCTTCATAAAGCTCATGACCCTTATTCAAGGTGTTGCTTTTTTCCATAGAACCCTGAATTTCCAAAAAATTCTTTGTGTTCTGGGTTTTTTTGTTTTTTGGGTAGTGTCAACTGCCTGAACAATGGCCTACAGATTTGTTGCAGCTTTTTGAACCTGCTTTCAGTAATGAAACACCTAAAATCTGGGTCCTGGGTCATAAAATGATGGAGACTCTGATCAAAGGCTGCCTGATAGGTTACCTAACTGGGGAGGGAAAATAAGCATACAACAGCAAGAGTAAACCACATACACAGTGATTCCAGAAGGAGGCACCATTTCATATGGACCTGTTCCCATTGCTACTATGTTTTGTGTTATTGTAGCATCCTTTATTTGAACCATGGCAACAGAAGAAATTGTCTTATGGATAAGTCTTTGGATTTCCTGGTATAGCGTTACCCTCAAATATGTTGGAGAAGCAAGTAAATTGTTCACTACTTCTATATCTGGCAAGAGCCAATTGTTACTTCACTTGAGCAAGTTCAGTTCAGGACTGGGTGTGCAGAAGCAAGTTGGTTCCACTCTAGGCTCAGAATGATGGAGAAGCTATGTTGGCAGTGAGGAAGCCAGGGGATCAACTCAATGGCTTCTGTACAAAACTAGCTAAAGCTAAAAGTCTACAAAAGGCTGGGAGAGCTAAAGGGCGAAGATGCTGAATGGAAATGGGTGAGAAATTGTGAAGTGGGTGTTTTGGGTGGAGAAGCGAAAGGTATGTAGGGTAAAGGCCTGAGACTCCACCCTAAACACCATCCTGACACTTCATGACAATTTTTAAACTAATTACTATACATATAATTAATATATCCTTTTAAATGTGTTTGGGGGATTATGGTTTTGTTTTGATTTGGTTATTGTTTTATTAGGCATTTTGTGTTTTTATCTTGTATTTTTTATGCTGTGGACCACCCTAACATCTACAGATGAAGGGGGGTATACTAATTTAATAAATAATAATATTTGAACTGACTATATAAATTTTCTTGGTACATATATCTCTTCAGTTGTTAACAATTTCTCTCTAGCTCTCGTCCCTTAAGAGCTCAGGCTCATTTTGTTCAATAAATTACAAGAACTAATGCTCTAAAGAAACTCCTCTGCATCTGCAGATGGTTTAATCCTTCAAAGCCATGCCAGCTTCATTGACTGACCCTTTGAAAAACAGCCTGCAGAAACTGCAAGGACAATCTCATGTTTTTCTTATTAGGCACAACTCCAAGACTGCGGAAAAGACAAAGACAAAAATCTATCCTCTTGTGTGGGTTGCATTGACCTAGAGACAGCAGATTTTAACCAAATGCACTATATTTCCTGTGCCTGCACACTTTACATACTAAATTATTAAATGTGCTGTGTACCTTCTAATATAATGTTATTTATTTTCTCCTATTTTTACACAAATTGGGCAATAAACAAATTAAACCTTGGAATATACTAAAGCATGTAAGAAAATTCTACATGCAGAGTTTTAACCCTTTTTACTCACAAATAGCCCTCTTCACACATTGGTGTGTCTCTTCTCAGTATTTAGTCTCAAATTTCAGTTGTAATAAGTAGTAAATTCTCCCTCCCTACCCACATTGCATCTTTTCCTTATGTTCCATCTCTTGGTTTGTAGAATCCCGAGAATGTGGAGGGAGGAGAGATCCCTTTGTCAAAAAACAGAAAAAAATAAAGAATAAAGAAGAATAAGGGTTTTCAGCTCAAATTCTTTTGAATGTTTAATAATACTGCACATGCCTGCTCAGAAGTAAGTCCCACTGAGTTTGGTAGAATTTTTTTAGGTGGCCCACAGCTGCTTGGTATCATTCCCTTTTAATTTGTAACAGAATGGTCCATGGGAATGATGCTGAGTCCTGATGTGGGACAGGCATGTCCAACTCCCAAGATAAAAAAAAAAAAAATTCCTTCCAGTAGCACCTTAAAGGTAAAGGGACCCCTGACCATTAGGTCCAGTCGTGGCCGACTCTGGGTTGCGGAGCTCATCTCACGTTATTGGCCGAGGGAGCCTGCGTACAGCTTCCGGGTCATGTGGCCAGCATGACTAAGTCGCTTCTGGCGAACCAGAGCAGCCCACGGAAATGCCGTTTACCCTCCCACCGGAGTGGTACCAATTTATCTACTTGCACTTTGACGCGCTTTCAAACTGCTAGGTGGGCAGGAGCAGGAACTGAGCAACAGGAGCTCACCCCATCCTGTGGATTCGAACCGCCGACCTTCTGATCAGCAAGTCGTAAGCTCAGTGGTTTAACCCACAGCGCCACCCGCGTCCCCTTGTAGCACCTTAGAGACCAACTAAGTTTGTTATTGGTATGAGCTTTCGTGTGCATGCACGCTTCTTCAGATACTACAACTCCCAAGAGACTGCCATCTACTCCCAGTATAAAAAAAGTGACTGTGATCTACCCATTGTCATTGGAGGCAGGATGAGTGTGCGTGGGGTGGATGGATTGCCCAGAGTTGTTGAGCTTTTTGGGGGGAAAGCTGCACAGTGTTTTAAAGCTTCCGCCCCGTAACTTTTTGTACATGATACGGATCCCACGCTCTACCAGATCATAATCTACTGGTTGGACACCCCTGATATAGGACAAGGGTGGACTTTGGTAATACAGTGCCCTGAGGAAGGACAAAATTTACCTCCCTTAACTTCTGCAAATGCTCTCAAGTGCACTACATAATAGTTTTGCCCTCCCTTGGCTTGGCGCCCTGTGCAGGAGATACACTTATACAGCCCTAAATGCAGCACTGATATAGGCTAGTTCCCAGGGCCATTCTTGTTGGGAACAATTGTTAACCCAGTTGACCTGTGTGGCAGCCATTTCCCTCCTCAAGAATTTAACTGGAAACAGCTCTAAATAATGATATAAAAAATTCATCGCAATGCAGAATATAGAAAAGAAAAACCAAAACAACAACATTAAAAGTGATAACAGATTAATTCTAAAAGCAGCGGGCAGAAATCTAGTCTCCTCTCAACTACATTCAAATGATTGTAATCACTAAGAAATTAGCCAGCCAGAACACCCACAAAGATAGCAGAGATGCTCACAATCAAATGCCTGGGGAGAAAAGGAAAGTATTCACTGGCTCCACAAAGGTATTAAAGTAGGTGCCAGGTGAGACTCTGTAACAAATAGATTAGATTTTCCATTTTAAATGACGAACAAGCAGCGTGATCATTTCAGTAGTTCCGTCTGGCGCTTCGGGGTGCATGGAACTGTCTCGATCCTTTTTATGTCCTTTTTGCAGTGTCAACCGACAGGTTTTGTCCTGTTTCTGGGTGCGTCTTTTAAAATAGAAAACAATTAAAAAACAATTAAAAAGGAATTCCCAAGGGATGTCCCCTGTCCTGCTCTCTCTTTATTATTATTATTTTTTACAAAGCATTATGCACAATGGCAGGGTTAAAACTTTTTGGGATGTAATGGAGTAGCAAGGCCAAGGAAAGGCCCTATTACTGCCACCTACTGGCAACAATATGATCACGCTTCATTCATAGCCTTTCATAGAGGCTCGTGACTTTCACAAACTTACCATAAATACTGAGCCCCAGAGATTTTTGTCCTGAACGGCAGTCCCCGCAGACAAACTTCTAAGACCCAAAACACTAAACCTATGACGGAGAGGCTCTCTGTCTTCTGTGTGATGCAAACAATCCTATATAACATAATCAACCATTTCCTTCGCCCCACAAACCTCACATCCGCCCAGCCCTGCACAAACCACTCTGAAGAGTACAATGCCGGCCCTAGTCAGAACAGACTAACTTATCTCTGTGGTCCTTTCAGTTCACAATTCAAAAATTGTCCATTGATAGGCACATTAAAACCTCATTGGATTCCTGGAATGCATTTAGAAGTATGGAAAAGAAGTGGAATCAGTCAAACCGCTGTTCAATGGGCAAATCAAGGAACTGGATCTACTGAACACTTTGTTCACCTAACACTACCTTTCTCTGTGTTATTTGGTATAACTGGGAATTTGACATCCTGTATCATAAATAAATAGACTAATGTAGTACTAGATGCTTAATTCAACACATGCTTAATTCATTTTTTTTAATGAATAGTCTTATTAAATGTTTCATGAAAGGTACCATATGCTTTTTTAAAAATCTGAAAATGAATTGCAGAGTCACAGCTAATTTAATTACATGGCTTCACTGTCTTGGGATAATAACGCTGACAGAAAATTAAAATATAGTTATTCCATGAATGTAACCTTCTCCATTGCCAAAAGAAGAAAAAGAAAAGAAAAGAAAAAGAAAAGAAAAGAAAAGAAAAAGAAAAAGAAAAGAAAAATAGCATGATTAACTAGATTGAAATTATTGCCTATATTTTGAGGGTTATTACCGTATTTTCCGCTCTATAAGACGCACCTAGTTTTTGGAGGAGGAAAACAAGAAAAAGAATATTCTGAATCTCAGAAGCCAGAACAGCAAGAGGGATCACTGTGCAGTGAAAGCAGCAATCCCTCTTGCTGTTCTGGTTCCTGGGATAGCTGCACAGCCTGCATTCACTCCATAAGACGCACACACATTTCCCCTTACTTTTAAGGAGGGAAGAAGTGAGTCTTATAGAGCAAAAAATACGGTATTTTAAAAAATAACGTACACTGAGTTGATAATAGAGTAAAACAAACTTAAGCAGTCCACTGAACTGTATTTCTGTTGCTTTGTTGTGCTTCCTCAAGTTAGCATCTAGGCTCATACAAATATGCATCTAATATACCACTAAGAAAAAATTAGACACAATGAGTTTAACTCTTAACTTCATAAACTTCATAAAATTGTCTGTTGGGCTCTTGTGGGCATTTCAAAGTGAATTTTCCTCTCAGGGTGTCCACCTAACTTCAGTAGGTAAGACAGCTACAGCCATTCCTAGACTGAGATAGTTTGGCCGCTGTGTTCTTGGTATTGTTCGTACTGGTAATCTCAAGATGTGTTTACTGCAAGACATTCTAGGTGAGACTTCTCATGGGTTTAACCTGACACTGATGGTGGTGCAAAATTTAGCAGCTAGGTTGTTGACTCGGGACACCCTATCGACATCATTTAACACCTCTGCTGAGGAAGTTCGAAGTTTTGCTTTTAGCATTTAAAACCCTAAACAACTTGGGACCAGGGTATCTACAGGGATGAGCTTGCCCATATATCCATGCCTGGCAACTGCACTCCTCAGATAGGGCACGGCTCAGAATACCTTAAGCTCCAATGCTGTGCTTAGCTTATACTAGAAACCAGGATTCTAGCATTGTAGTGCCAGTTCTCTAGAATCAATGCCAGAATTAGGCAGTGTCATAATGTCTAGGCACCTACTGAAGACATTTCTGTTCAAGAAGGCTTTCCTTGGTATGTGACCCAGTCACTTATGGAACAACTGTGAATTTGTGTAAATTGTAAATATTTTTTCAGAGTTTGCTGAAGTAGTTTTAGATGTGGTATTTTCCCACCCACCCCCTTGCTTTTGCACTACTTCAGTGGCTCTAAGCTACAAAGTGGTCTGTTATAAATTTGCTTTATTATTTTTTATTTTGGTGTCATGCTACATGTGTGGATCTTGTGATAGGAATTTTATGGTCTTATATATATGGCAATGTTCATAACCGCACATACCTAGATCAACACAGGAAGGCCAACCTGGAACCATTTTGATTCCTAAACTGACCAAATGTTTTCTCTGCAAGGTCAAACTGGAAAAGTCTCCCCATTGTCTCTTTCCTCACAAATCCTGTCTTAAGGACACATTTAAGATATGATTAAGGTGTGAGCCTGTGACCTGGCCCAGGAAATAAGTATTTTACCACTACAAAAGAATGGCCAGGCTCCCCAGGCAATCCAATCAAGTAACTTGCCAGACAGGAGATAAACTGGGACAGGAGAAAAACAACATGCAAATGTTCTGTTTCAGACCGCCTTTTTTGGGATGTATCTGAGGGGTGGGCTTAGGTTACACCCCTTCTGTGATGAATGCATAATGTTTCTGGAGGTGGTCTTGATCTAGAGGATGGGAATTTCAAAAGTCTTTATAAGCCCTTGCACAGCATTTTGGGGGGTCCTCTTCCTCTCCTGCGTGTGAGGGGAGCACCCTGTTGCAACAGATTAATAAAGATCAAGCATACTAGCTGCTTTGCTTCTCAATATTCTCTGGTTGGCCTCTGTTATTTTCTCCTACCAATAGGGAACCTATGTAAGGACTCTATATGGGCTCTTGGATACCCCATAAGGGAAAAGGGCATATTTTTTATTTACAACAGTCTGACAGAGCAGCACAACCTGCATTAGGCTTGGGGAAGAGCAAGGCAGACTAGATTCTTGCTTTGTCCCCCTTCCTTATTATCTGCCTAGACATCTCAGAAATCACTCCTGTGTTGGGGGCCTGCGACATAGCAGTCTGTTTGATAGCTTCTGGCAAGAATGGCCTGTCCAGACTAGCAGTTGTGGAAGGAAGGGAGTGCAAGTTCTTTCCCCTGTTCCATTATACCTGTGTAATATTAATAATAAAATTCCTGTGTACAGTTTTATTCTCATTTTATAAAAGTAAACCTGGACTGACAAAATGAAATATTTAAAAAAAGCATTAGCTATCTATCAGGGAAGCTGAGCCTGCCCCCCCCTCCCCACCCAAAATTGAACCTCCTCCTTATTAGAAAGCAGAAAGATAGCCTTTGCACCGTGGAGCAATGACCAGAATCTTTAATAAGCATCCTCTGTGGTTCATTTGATGGAAGTAAAAGAAAGAAAGGTTAGACATTCAGCCTTGTTATAGGACTTATGATAAGGAATAAAAAACTGACAAGAGACAACACTGCAAATTTGGAAAACTGAAAGCAATGAAAATGCAGAGGAGGGAATTCTATGAACCAGTTTATTCGAGACAAAATTACATATATTATGCATCTTATATCTTCATTCAAGCAGGAAAAATGATGTCTCGGTAGCTCTATGATACTGGAGTTTATAATGTATTCCATGGAGAGCTGTTTACCTCCACAAAAAGTGAGAATATCCCCCAAAAAACTTAAATTATCCCTTTATTTTATTCTTACCAGGATTGCTAATTATTTTCTATATCTTTATAAGTTTCCTAACAGCGCTTCCTATTTCATGTGAATATGAATTTAAATAAAGAATGGAAGATGTGTCTTACATGTTGCAGAAAACTGCATCCCCACAATTCATAAATCAATTGCTCTTAATAATACATCGCTGAAAAAGAAATTCTGTATGTAGAAAGGATTGGAGCATTATACATTAGCAAGTGATTTTGATTTCTGGCATTCATGCCCTATTTTGCAAGGAACTGTCCATCTTTTACAAATGGGCTACATGCAGTTAGAATGATAGCTGAAAAGTGATCTATTATACTCTACTCTAGGATTATGAAGATTATTCCTATTTAGCAATTCTGCATTTCGGTCCTTTAAAGGACTACTGTATTAACAGGGGGTGGGATCTTAAGGGGAGAAATGCAAGCAGTGAGATCAACATCTTCAGAACTTGTTCATGTTGAGGCTTTCCATCTGGATGCAACCCACAAAATGGGGGAATGGCATATTTGGCTGTTCAGATTGTTCAGACTAATGACTCAATGTCAGAAGGATGAAACCTACAGGTCTCATACATCATATGATTCCTGCTGAGCTAGTAACTGCAGTATTACCCTCTAGTAATTTGTAGTGGCGGTGGGCCTGTGAGCACAGCCAATTTTAGGCTCATACAAGTGCAGATCAGCCTTCAAACAGCTTTGCCCTAAACTGTTTAGAGCTTCAGAGGTAATCACTAGCAATTTTAATTGGGCCTGGGATCTTCCTGGTAAACAAATACAACTGATAGAAAATATGTGTTGTTTTTTTCTATCAACTGGACCCCACAAGCAACTAGACAGAACTTTTCTGTACCAACTGCCTTTAAAGGCAGTTTTACATTGAGGTGAACTTCTGATTTTAACTAGGACATGTATAACTGCCAACTATTAAGGACCTCTTTTGTGGCCAGTCATCTCCAGTTCAGACCCCTTACTCTATATGTTAAGTAAGGGTTTTTAAAATCCCAAATGTATAACTTAACTCCACTTATGTGGAACTGCATTTTCCATTTTAATGCCCATTCACCCAATTTGGAAAGATCCTTTAGCAGCAATCCCTTGCAATCCATTTCTGTTTTTATCACCCTGAACAATGCAAAAAGCTTTTGACAAAGCAGCTCCCCTGAGTAAGCTTAACAGTCATGAGATAAGAGGAGAGGTCCTCATGTGGATTGGTAACTTATTAAGTAACAGGAAGGGGTCTTTCTAAACGGAGTGAATGGGTGCTACAAGAACAAATACAATTTGGTGTAAACAAATATAAAGTGATGCATGTCAGAGTAAAAATCTTAATTATATAAATATAATGCTCAAGGGTTCTGAACTGGCCCCCACCTCTTGCCTTCCATTCCGTATCATAGATGTGGTGCCCTGTGTGGCACCCCCAAGGCTTTGTACCCAGTGCAACCAAAGTGGTTGTGCTCCCTTAAATCTGCCTCTAACTGCTGACATCATAACACTATTATATAAATCAATTATGTAACCATACTTGGAGTACAGGTCTCATTGCCTCACCTCAAAAAATGATGTTGTGGAGTTCAGATAAGGGCAACCAGAATGATCATGGAGGTGAAGCAACTCCCCATGAGGAAAGGTTTCAGCATTCAGAGCTCAAACCCGTGACCCTGAGATTAAGAGTCTCATGCTCTGCCAAATGAGCTACCAGTTGCTGGAAACTGCAGGAAGGGAGACTGCTGTTGTGCTCAGTTCCTGCTTGTGGGCTTCTCATAGGCAAGTGGTTGGCCAATGAGAGAACAGGGTGTTGGACAAGATGGGCCACTGGCCTGATTCAGCAAACTCTTCTAAAAGTCTGGTGTTTATTTTCTAACCTTTGCAGACTTATTTTTCTACAAGCTTTGTACTTTTATATTTAATAATGCTTTCCACCTGGAAAAGATGTCAAGCTAACCAGCATACAATTTCTCAGACTCCCCCTCCTCACAAAGGTCCCTTTTAAAGAATTAGTATTACAAGTTTGGCCACTTTCCGGTTCTCACATACTGATAATCGGGATGTTACAACTTTCTGTTAGAATATCAGTATGTTTCTATACTAGAATTGCAGCCTTAATGTGCAAGAAACTAGTGAAAACTGCTCTGTCTCCCTCCTCTCAATGCCTTTGATTATTTTAAAGTTTTAAATTGTAATAATAATGTGTTAATGTTATACATTATTGTACATTTATTGGAGATGGTGCTATGTGTTGCTTGACCAGTCTGAGGGCCTTGTCATGTCGTGAGATTGATCTATTGTATGAGGCGTTTATATCCAGTCATTCAGTCATATTCTGTCTGTGAAAATATTTCAGCAGATTGATGTGTATATAGCCAAAGTACTGTATATTCTGATCATGTCAGATATGAAGAGGTAGCATAATAAGAACTGGGCCATTAGAAGAGCATCATCAATAGTGTTAGTAAGCAGAGGAAGCTTTTCCATGCATTTTCAATCAACCCCAGCAGGCTGTGTTTGCGTCTATACAAGGTGCATAATCTAAGTTGTGCTGTCTACTGTAGAAATGGAAAAGACAAAAGATCAAACCAGGCATTGCATGGAGTTACATCTCCTGCTGGTTTTTTTTAAACAAAACAACAAAACAAAACAAAACAAAAGTAGCCTCTGCAGACTGCCAGTGGTAGTAGGGCAGGTGGATGGAAGCTTCTTAACCTTTGTACTTCCCACCATTAGTCCACTCAAAAACCGCCCTCCCTATTCTAATCTTCTGCCTGACCCCACATCTTTTTCACTCTTGATTTTCAGTAAAACCAAAACCAATTCCCAAACACCAGACCATTGGGGAAAGAAGCACAGGAGTTCATGTCATGTCTAATTTGGTCCAGACTTCTATCCTAATCCTGAACTTGTTTACTCAAAGGGTATATTAAGTTCAGTGAAACTTACTTGCAGTCCGAAGCCTGGAATTCTATGCACACTTACTCAGGAGTGAACTTCACTGGTCCTTTAATTATGAATAGACATATATAGGGTTGCAGCTGTTGAATCTGTATTTCTGACAGAAAATATGATGTGCCTTTATATAATTTGCAATTTGGAGGGATGTGTCATGAAAAGTAAGTTATATATCAGTAAATGAAAACATTTAAGTAAATGAATCCAAATATATAAGTAAGCAGCTATTATGTTTTTGTTATCTTATATATCTAACCCTAATAAACACCTCATTTGCATGACTTTATTTTTCTGTGAACTATGCCAAAGCATAGGTGCTTTTAGGTGAAGTACGTTTTTTCATTCCACACACTAAATGAAAATATGATTTTCTATCACCGCAGCTGCAATGTGTGAGGTTCTATAAACAGATTCAGCTGAGAAATTCCTGTAAATCATTAATGATTTATCAGAATTGGAATTTTTTCTCAAGCACAAGAATTTATTCATCAAAAGCCCCCAAACTATCAAAGCATACAGGCATTGTAGGACAGATTGTTTATTATAATAAACTGTATTTCTTACAGAGTGATGCCATTATTGCGACATTTTTGAATTGCAAATGAATAGAGCTCATCTTCTGGGGTTGTTAATGCCTGACAGATCAGAATCAAATAGCCACTAGCAACACAAGCAAAATGAGATGTTTCCTTCATCCTCGCCCCCGCCACCTTGTGATCATATTTACAAAAGCAAAGTTGTAACGTTCCCATACAGTTCTGAAATGGTTCAAGAAGGCATACCTACATTTTGAATATTTTAAGAAAAACCCCACAAAACTACAAGTAACACATAAACAGCATTTCCCTTTACCTGTTGTCCCAGATAACTAAGCTGCTATTTATAATCTCTTTCTTCATCAAGCCAGCCAGTTTCCCTCCATCCCAAGGGATTATGTATCTCCTGCAAAACACTGGCTCCAGTCTTATAGTGTCTGGTCATGGCAAGATTCCTCAACTTCAATAGGATAAGATTGTGCTTTCAGAAATGGCCTGCCTTCAATAAAAAAAGATGTCATTTATGCAACACAGTTGTGCAAGAACTGAGATGCAATGTGTTATTTGAGGGTATTATTATTATAACGGAATTATGATGATGATGAAAGCATTTGTATACTGCTTTTCATTCACCGAATACCAAAGCAGTTCACAACCATCAAAATTACAATAATAAAATATTTCAATAAAACATTCAATAAACATTTACACCAGCCACAAACTGAAGAACTGGTATTAGTGGCTTAGGCAGATTTGTTGGGTCAACTTATTTTTAAAAATAGCTTAATCTTTTTCCAGATACTGTCATTGTCTTCCAATTGTCTACACACCTTCAGAGGTATGTAGAGGAGTCTGGAAAAATAGACACACTCACAAGTGTGTTCAGGGAATAACTGTATCCTTCTCACAAGGTATATTAGGTAGATGTGTGTGTTTTGTGAAATGTGGTGTTATGTGGAGCATGACTTGAACATATGCTGCAAACTGACTCCTGTGGTGGAAGGTGTGATCTGTGGACCCAGCTTTTCCTTTGCATTGTTTGCAGCAATGAAGATCATGGCATGATATGGCACAGTTCTACTATCTCCAAAAAGACAAAAGGCATGGTCTTGACATCATTATTTCAGCTCTGTGCTGTTCTTTCTGGTTTTAAGTCTTCCCTAAATGCCATGGAATCATAGAATTGTAGAGTTGGAAGGGACCACAAGGATCATCTAGTCCAACCTCTTGCAGTGCAGGAATCTTTCACTCGAAGTGGGCCTTGAACCCACAACCCTGAGATTAAGAGTCTCATTCTCTGACATATCCTGTTGATATGTGGCTCAGGCACATATTATTCTGTGTATCGAAACAGTGACTTTAACCCATGTCTAGGACACTTATAAGTGAACTTTTCAATTGTAATATTACTCAGTTACAAGACAAATTAATTTTTTTTTGTAATGGTGGTTTAGATGCTATGTATTATGTAATTCTGAGGTAAAGGAAAAACCTCAAGATTTTACTTTCTACACATTTGCATTGATTAGTACGATAAATGATTTCAGAATTATTATTTAAACCAAAATAGCCTCTCTGTCTCTAAGGCACATCAAGAAAAAAAATTTCTTTGTATTTGCATAATAATTGCTTTGAAACAAGTGATCTACTAAGCAATACTATGTAGACATAGTGTAATGAATGCAGTAGACACAGTCTCTTAGATCAATATCAGAAATACAATGAAAGTTGAATATTTGAAGTCTCTAGATTATTTCAAATCTCTATAATGAGTAATGAGCTCATTTAGATAAGCATTAAGCACAAATTTAATTATATTACTGGTAATTATTAGCAGGTTGTACAATGTTAAGTCCCTTTCATTTTCTTCAAAAGTTGTTATCCATATTAATAATAATAAAATATACATTATTTGACCTCATGAACTGCACAAAAATAAGAAACATGGTTAGTTAGGGATGACTCTGCCCATAAGTCATTTTATTTATTTGCACTTTCACACCAAGTGCACACATCTCATTTGTTCTATACAGTGGTACCTCGGGTTAAGAACTTAATTCATTCTGGAGGTCTGTTCTTAACCTGAAACTGTTCTTAACATGAGGTACCACTTTAGCTAATGGGGCCTCCCACTGCCACCGCAGTGCAGCCATGAGATTTCTGTTCTCATCCTGAGGTAAAGTTCTTAAACTGAGGTATTATTTCTGGGTTAGTAGAGTCCGTAACCTGAAACGTTTGTAACCCGAGGTACCACTGTATACAATGTTAATCAACACACAGTTCTGCTGTGAAATGAAAGGATGTGAAAATCAAAAGGATACTTTTTGTGTAGCATAAGAGTAACAAAACATGTTAAAATCATTATTTGTGGTTTTTCGATTTAAATAAATACAAGGTGTTATTGTTCAGTTGATAAACATTTGAGAAAGAGAAAGTTGAATGATCATTTTGAAGTCAGAAAGTCAGTAAGAGAACACTTTTTGGATTCAGTTCTATGCAGTGCTCTCTTTTTTGCGTTTGCTTTTTTTTATAATAAAGATACTATGTAGTTGTTATAGTAAGTACCACACATTTAATGTTTTTTGGGGGGCGGGAAGGTGCCGGTACTGTGTAGCCTTGAGTAGCACCAGAAAAAGCACTGGTTCCATACCTATTCAGTGCAGTAAACTACATAGTAGTTATTTTTGCATAGAAATATTTAGGAGGGTCTTGTTAAGGGGCACTGATGTCAACAAGTAAGTTAAGCACATACTGATTTATCTTTTCCTGAGCCTAGTGGATTTAAAATTGCTTAATATTGGCTTGATCATGCCCATTGTGATGGCCTGGGAATCCGATTCAGAGGCTGAACCGGAGGAATCCCAGCCTGCACAGGAGTGCCCGCCTCTAGGGCCGGCTGAACTGGGGCAGGGCCTTGATTCTGAAGCGCCTGCACCTGTGCCGGATCCTCAGGAGCAGGCACCAGGTGAATCCACTCTGGCTCCGGAGGTGGTTGAGGACTCAGTGCCTACAGGTGAGTCTCCCCCTGGGTCCAGTAACCCTTCAGCCTCTCCTGAACTGCAGAGGCTCAGGGCAGAGAGGCGAAGGGAACTGGTTTCTCCCAGGAGGAGTGCTCGCCTTAAGACCAGGAGAGGCGGGTCTCCTGGGGGCCGGGACCGCCCCTGGCCTCAGAGAAGATAAAGGCCAGTCAGCCCGGTCCCAGGTTGCGGGAGCAACGTCGTTGATGAGCTGTTTCGGCCAGCATCCAGTCCTGTTCCCCCAGTGTTCCTGTCCCCGCCCGGCTTCCTGCTTCGGACCTCACCCCGCTCCTTGTGAACTGTTTCCAGACCAGTGACCCAGGACCGGACTTTGACTACGCCAACGGTAACCTTCCCCCCGGGACCAGCACACCCATGTTTTGACATGGACCTGTGCTTCACACAAGCCTGCTGGAGGAAAAAACAATAACAACTGTGGAAAGTAGCTTGTTCTTTTTCCTAATAGTGTATTTAGGCTTTGTTTTGTTTTAAGTGTCATTTTTAATAAAATATGAGTGTGTAGCATTGGAAGGGGCACATATTTCTCATGAAATAAAAAATTATGGAACTACATAGGATTGTCCAAAGGAATTACATTGGCAGTGTAACAATATGGTAGAATCTCTAGATGCAGCTTGTGTGTGTTGTTGCTTCCTGGAGGGAATCAGGAACTAATTAAGAGCAACACCCAATTTCCTGTTGCCTAAAAAGAGACAAGCTATGGACAAAGAAAACTCTGGAGAAATATTTGCTTAAATACAACTGACAGTTGGCTGACAATCTGTCTGATGCTGTATTCAGTTCCATGAGTGTGTGGATGTTCCACATCCATGACATGAGGACAAACTTGCTTAGACTCATAAAGCATCTCTGGTGTGCAAACTAGATGTGACTTTAAACTCCTGTTTGAATTAGGGGTGTGTGTGTGTGTGTGTGTGTGTGTGTGTGTGTGTGTGGAACTGGCCTCTTCTCTTAAAAAAAAATCCAAACCAGACAAAATCTAATAGTTTTTGCCCTTTTTGACACTCAGATCTAAGTGCCTGAGACAGAAGATTTGCAATGCCCAATAGTAGGGCTGGACTTGTTACAGGAGCATTCAACCCACCTGTACTGATGCACAATTTCTCCTGTTCTCAGCCATCAAGTATTTAGAACATAAAAGCAAACAAAATGTTGCATATTTTAAGTTATAATCATGCTTGACTAGAATGTGCTGCACAGGCTTTGAATTAGATTAAAAGTCTGTATAGCTGTTGGGCTCAGCCTGCTAGCAAGGTCATATTCAGCTCCTACACGAGTTTCCTCTCTGACCCCATGAGCACGATATCCTTCACGCAGTGGCAGGAGAGCTTCTAATAATGATGCCTTGAAGTACAGCCAGCCAACTACAACTGATATCATGCTCATCATAGTAAAAGATATGCTGGGCTGGCCATATATTGAGGATGGATGATCCCAGGGTGCCAACAACATTTGGTACCTAGTGAGTTACAGGAGGGTACTGCTGAACACAAGATGGAGAGGAAGCAAATGCTTCAAGGACATTTTGAGGCAACATGAACACTCATGTTTTTATGGTAACAGCTGGAAACTGATGGCAACAGAAAAGGATTGCTAACATGCTGCAGTTAGAGATTGAAGAGCTCAGTTGGAGAATAAATCTGTCATATATATAGGCAAAGACAGTTTCAAACAGTGAAAGGCTTATGAAGGAGGTTACTTTTTTTTACAGAGAACATGCCGTAAGTAATCTTCATCTGCATGCACCTTCAGCTGTTGCATCACCTAAAATGGCTAGATATCAACTCCATATCTAAGTTAGTATGTTAGTAATTACATATGATTCTCTATAAAATCAAAGAATTTTAGCTGTGTCACTAAAATTTCATATACATAGGCTACATTCCTATGTGCAATTCCTTGAGAGTAATTCCTACTGAACTCACTGGGATTATTTTTGAGTAGATATGCACAGACATACATTGTGTATGTGTTTAGTTTCAAAACCTTACAGGACCTGATGCTGCAGAGATATCCCTTGGCAGCCAGAAATATTTTATTTGATAAGAAAAGCAAACACATTATTTTGATAAAGTCCCACTGAATTAGGATATAAACGTGCCTGTTAAATATTACCTTCCAGCTTATGATATATACCCAACTTGTGATTACTGATGCACAGGCTGAGTTATCAATATAATATATAATGCAGAGAGAGAGAGATTTGCAAATTAATATTTACTTGCCATCAATTTTACTCCTCAAGGAAATTATTGCTCTCTGCATAGCACCACAAAATATGAGGAAAAGGGAAAACAGATGGGAAATAAATGCTAACAGTAAGAAAATGCACTGGCAAATTTGGATTTACGTAACTAGGAAATTTAAAGTGACAAATATTTCACTTTTCAAAACTCAACTTTTGTAAGATTAACATATGAGTTTGACCAGGATTGTGAACATTGACAATTAGTGCTATCAAAACACTTCATCAGTCCTACTAATAGGAAGAACCTACAGAAAAATAAAAAAAAAGATTAATGCACTTCAACACCTCATGCACAGAGATGATTTTACAGAACACTGCAAAGATTCATTTATTTGCAGGATAACACAATCATTTGGTGATGCTTCCTGGATGTCTGGAGTTGAAAATAATTTGTTTTGTTCATAAGCCTGTTGCATGAAACTAGATATCATCACAGTTATTTCATGCAGGCACCCAAGGGAAAAGTTTACCTCTTTCCATATTCTTTTGCAGAAACACTGCATAATTTTTTTGTGTAGCATGAGTGAGCTGAAAAGGCACATTTTCAACCTCTAGATCTGTAGTATGTCAACCAACACATACACTTCTTTTAGTAATTATATTGACTGAATTTCTTACATTATGCAAAGCTTCATGGTTACTAACGATATGAGTAATGCTTATACCACATTTTGAAGTGGAATGAAACCATAGGTTAGTACTGGCATGGATGATTTGCTGTAGCAATTACTGATTTGATTGTGTGACCTTATACTTTTAAAGCTTTGTTTCTGTAAGCCTATAAGCTTCAGATCATCAGCCAAAGTTGTCTGTGGAGCTTAGGTGATTTATAACAGCTGAATAGCTGGTTCTTTTATTCTGTACAGGGCAAACATTGTTTGATAGGAAAGCTACTCTACAAGTCATTTTGCTCATCGAAATGAATCTGCCTGAACTACTGAAATAGTCACACAGTGCACACTTCTGGTCCTTGATAACTTGCACATAATCACGTCCTCAGGGTGGACTATGACCTCTGCAGTCAGCATGCTTTGCCAAAATTCAAAGCAAACGGGTAGAAAAACAATTTGCTTCAATATCTGTAGAAGCAGCCGGTTTGAGTGGCAACTTGGTCTTTCAGTGAGTTTTTGTGACCCCTGGATGAGTGGAAAGTTGTGCATGAATAAGCAGGCAAGTCCCAGCAAGGCAGATGTTGCACTCAGTGACCTTCACTTGCTGGAGCTGATAATAAGTTTGGCTGTCATTCACTGCCCTTTTGAGGGTTTCACACAGAGGATCAATGCCAAGGAGGCACATTTGATCCTATAGGCCCTGCCAGAAATTAGGTTTGGATTTAGATTTTCTGGCACTAATCCGACCCTAGTTTGACAACAAAGGATCTGTTGTAATAACATGTGCAGAAGGCATGTCTCTCATATGCTTGTTTCCTCAAAGGGACAAGATGGTCTTGTCCTTGACTACCTTTCATTCACTACATAAATGTGAAGGTAAACAGGTATATTATATGTTATATAATACATAAAATGATTAATGTTTGTGACCTTTTTTATTTAAAAAGTCAGTAAATACACAGAGATGTCACTAAAATCCTGTTTTTCAGTGGCTACTCTTAGCTTCCCAGCTCATTGTCAGCAATGCTCCTGGGGTAGTGATAACTCTGCCACACAACCTAAGTATGTCAGTTATCCTTATATGCAGTTCATAGTCTTTGAGAGAGAATGACATCCTAGCCAACTGTTTCTGTATGTTTTTCTAAAGCTTCATCCCTTCATTAATGTTTTAAAATCAGGGGCAGTCAACAATTCCCATTATTCCTAACCCTTGGCCATGTTAGCCAAGGATGATGGGACTTATAGTCCAAAACATCTGGAGGGCATTATATTGTCTACTCATGTTTTGAACGCTGCATAGTCCTTTTTCTCAAGAATACACTATAAAGCAGCCTTTGCTTCTGACATCTTTAATCACTCACACCTACCTGCCGGAACCACTTAGCCTCTTGTCCTTTCTCCCTGCTGCATTCACATAGCCTGGTAAATAATAATATTCCATCAGCTAAGCAGTTTTATCCGCCTTATTTACATAAAATTTAGCATTAACTTAAGAATGCACTCACTACCCGTCATATTCCTGGAGGAATTTCGAAAGTCTTGAAATTCCACAGAAGTTTTGGCCAACAAAAATCCCCTAGATTTGCCTTTGAATATCACTTTGGGTGAAATTCAGTGAAAAATCTCATTGTTTTTGGAAAAGTCTTCTTTACCATCCCTAGTCATAAGTAATGCACATAGGTATGTGTCTCTGTATGCCAAAGTCTGTTGAGAAGGTGTTTGAATTCAGCTACAGCTGAGAGGTACCTCTAGTTTTTAAAGGAAAAGCAATAAACTGGCAGCCAGACAATAAACAGATCTTTTGTGAGTTCAAAAAGGAGTGAATAGTATCTGGAGGCTGATGCAAGCAAGGTCTGCATTCCGGCACTGTTCATTGATTGAGCTCTCAGATGTCTGCTCTGAAGTTCACTAGGGCTTGCATAAGACATGGATCTGCCTTGCAGCCATTTCAAAGTTCAGTTAAAGGAGGGGAAAAAACTATGTTGTGGTTTTAAGTCAGCAGGGGAAAACCGATATATGGAAGGCAAAGAATGAAAAACTAGTGGTGGATGATAACAAAAGAAAACCCTCCATTACCTACATGCATCCTACAACAACTGCAGGACAAGTGGTTCATGTGGTATGGAGAAAGTAGTGCTTTGTAGGGCTTCATTGAGAAATGTAGGGACAGGGAAGGCCAGGGCTTTATATCTCAAAAACAAAACAAAAAACAAAAATCCTCCTTACCCCTTCTCCTCCCACATGGCCAGCATCATAACTATAGTGGCCTTCCTCACCACTCTAGATGCCCATTTATCACAACACACAGGCTATAGACAAGATATTTGGTTCAGGGATCTACAACCACCAAGTCCTAGCAGAATGAAGTAATTTCAGTTGCCATGCATTCTAATTCCATTTGTGATAGGGAGAGGCTGTCAACAGCTAGTCACTGTGAGCAGTAATCCTTGATAGCTAGACTAGTGCTTCTGTGTAGCCTGATGTAGTCACTCTGGGATGATTCAGGCATTGAGTAGGCACAGCAGTACAAGCCTCTGGGGACTCTACTACTTCAGGCATGTACTAGGGAGAATCATCTGTTCGAAAGTGTCTTTGCATTAACAATTCCTTCTGCATACAAAAGTGACCAGTCATGTGAAAGGCATGCCAAATAAGCTTTCTTCCTGACATGCCAGCTTTGTAAGCGCAAAGAGAGATTTTGACATAGAAGTACTTCCCAACATCTAAGCCCCAACTTTTATGAATTTCTTTTATGAATTTCTTGAACATTTGAATTACCTTGAATTATAGCCACTTCTCATAGTAATTTTGTCCTTAGGTGCGTGAGTATAAACTGACATACACTGCATCAAAAGTTAAGTACTGTATGTACGTATGTGTTTACATACATACTGTAAACTGGAATTGTAAATAGGAATGCTGTATTCACTGCTATTTTTCTAGAAAAAAGGTGCCAGAACTCACCACAAATGCCTCCATTCTCCTATAATGGCAATGGCACCCACCTGAGAAGTTCCCAAATTGAGTTCCTGTGAGTTCTGGCTGGAAAGAAGCCCTGGCTATAATGAAATGGTTTTTAACATGTTTTAAAGATCTTTTTATTGTTTCATTGCTTGTTGCTGTCCTGGGCTCCTTTGGGAGGAAGAGATAGATATAAATGTAATAGATAAATGAACAATAAAATACATAGGGGCAGACTTTTTCTTCCTGTGGAGAAAACCATCAAGTCCAGTAATTTCCTGGGGAATTTACTGTATGCATTCAAAGTACATGGCAGCAAAGGTTCTGGGCAGCTGGATTAACATTGTTCTAAAAGACCAAAACACAGCTTGCAGGAATAGAGAAGGCAACGATGCAGCTCTTAGATTTTGAAGTGGACTCAGGATTCAATCTAATAAGGTGATTGAGGATATGACTTGGTTAGAATGTTCCACGTTCTTTCCTTTAATCAGATGAGTCCAGTCCTGTGTGAAATACTATTGCTTGGATAGGGAAGCCCTCACCCAACATTCTTGAGGGAGCATGCATGGTGAGCCTGTCCCTAGAAGCCACTGGATGAAGAACCTTTTAAGAGGTAAATCGACTTATTCCTTTGGAGGATCCTGAGAGATGGGAACAGGCATCCAAGTTGAATCGTTCATTGGAGGGGGAACATCTCCGCATACTTCCCTTCAGTAGTGTTTTGCTAATATATTTTGTATACCATAATTTTACAAGCACGGATGCAATGGTGATAGGTTGACCTTCCCTTCACCACTGAAAGAACTGGTTTTCTAGAGGGTATGCATCCTGAGGTCCCAATTCCTGCTTCCCAGCAAACATTTTGGCACCACAGAGCCTCCTTAAGTATTGTAAAAATTGTCAACCTCCCTGCATTTTTGTTTTTGTTTGCCAAAAATACAAATGTGAAAACATCAGTGAATAAGGAATAAAACTATTTGAAATAAGAGCTAGCACTAATGATGATGATGATTCAGCTGGAAATGTATTTTTCTTCACTGGTTTCCAAGCAAAATGTTCTTAAAAATGAGGAAATGAATGATATCCTTATTTTCTCTCTCCATCCCAGATGTTTTGAATAAAATGGGGATGAACAGTTCTGGCAAGTACAGAAAATGGTTGCATGGACTATTGTGTTATTAATTCCATATCCCACAAGAGACTATCAGACAGTGTTTAATTACTACTTTCCTGGACTCAGAAGGCATGAGATTAAGATAAAGCAAACAGATTACTTTTCAGAGCAAGGTCCTAAAGCAAACATTTTACATGTTAAACTACAGTGGGAAAAGGTTCGTGACTATGATATTTAATTTAGTTGAAAAGGAAACACTTTTTTTATACAGTGGATAAAAGTTTGTCAAACATTGTGAATAAATTGAATTGATGGTGCCTGCAGAATTTGGTAGCACCAATACTAAAATAAAATGAAGTTATAAAAATGCAAGCATGAGTAAAGACTGGAGTATATTAATACATGATAGTATTAAGTAATCAATCATTTATGGCAGAAATACATCTGACATGTTAAAAAACTTATGTCATTTCCCAACATTTCCTAACTTTGTAGGGCTGTGGGAAGGGCTATCTAGCTAGAATAAAAACAATGAGGTTGTGTGAACTGGTGGCATCTGCTCTCACATGGCAGGGCAGTCCATGTGCACACTACACCCCCCAACCCCAAAGGAAGCCTGAAAGCATCAGTTTGTTCATATATGAGGCATGAATACCCTCAAGCGTTTTGGCTAAGTAAGGTCATAACTTGAATAATCATTGTTAGGTATCTTGGGGTCATGAGCCTCTCCCCTCCCTCCACTTCAGTCATGTTAATCACGGTGAATATCTTAGGTGTAAAAGGAGTCCATGCAATAGCAACGTACCATATCCTGATATAACCAGCTGCAGTGTCCCTTCCTTTGTCACCGTGATAAAGGATGTGTCAAGCATCACAAGCATCTCCCCTTTCCTCACATACGATGCTGCAATTAGGATCCCACTGTATTATATTCAGAGTTCAGCAACTGTTAAATGTGCTATGCCAGCATCACACTAACTACTATATCAGTCATGTTAGATGACCCCCTTGAAAATTGCTGCCAAAAGTTTATGTGTCAGAAATCACTTTCCAAAATGCTTATGAAGTGAAGAATTTTTCACAGCCCTGTAGACATGGAGAACTGTCACTCAATGCAACCAAGCGGAGCAGTTTATATTCGAAGACATGCAATTCAAAAGCCTTGCTTGGACAATTGCTACCTGTCATCTGTCAGCCATTGCGTACCATGTTTAGGCAGATGTTAACCCTAATACAGTCAAATAACCCCTGGAAATCACTACAAGAGATCCAATGAGTGCCTCTGCTTTATTTTCAATATGGATGATCCATAAAGGTTGTAGTCCAACGTAATTGCTCTCAAATGCCATCTATTGTGAAATTAAAACTTCCTATAAAATCTAGACCTCCATTTGTTCTGTATTTTATATGGGATTCATTTTTACTTGAACATTTATCCTGTTCCCAGAACACATCATTAAGTGAGATGGCTGTATGAATCCCACCCCGTGCCTCTAAATATCCTGGTAGGTGCATGTATACTGGAAAACGTGTGTGCGTGTGATGTATAATGAAATTCCACACAGTAATTCATAAATGGAATAGGTTTTTTCAGACAGAATTTTGTAGCACATGAAGGAACCTTGTGTGTTAGAATACAGATAATGTGCATGTTCCCATATTAAATCAGGTCCCATGCAATGCACCCTGATGTTCTTGAAGATACATATTTTTAGAATACTATATCTATTCCAGATATAGCTGTAGATCCTTATTACCATTTATGTGGATGCGGTGGCTGAAAACTATGTCACTCAAATTGTTCACTAATCATCCAAACAACACAGACTTATGAATCTTGAAAGCTGATTGGTCTTATTCACTGACTTGTGAGTTCAGTCAATTATGAGATGAATTACTTCACATGAGTAAAGTAAAACATGTAGGGATTTTATATCATTAAATCCAGCAGAGTAAGTTAGAGATAAATTAGGTAAATCAGCTGGTTAGTTCACATTCACAATCCGCTTTTGAAGAACAATTTTTCCTTTGAGTGAAGAAGATTACAGGACAAGCTACCAGCAGGACTTTCACTTCGAATGGGATTGCCCTTCAAGCATACAAGCTACTTAACTCCTGAAAATGCAGGTTCAGCTTCATGCAAAATTAAATATCAATAGGGCAATAGCACCAAAGAAGTTGGCTTTGTGGGCAGGTAAGCAAATGGAAAAAGGTTCAGGTCAGGTAAACTTTCTAAAATGGTTATTTATATAGCACGGTAAAAGTATCTGACATTTCAGGAAACCTCTGTTCAAGGAAGATCGCTTCCCTAAACAGTTGGAAAACAAATACAGATGTCATGAATTGGCTGTTATCTTGGATAACATTTTCTATGAGATAAGCAAACACCACTGTTTGAAAGCTTCACCATTATGTTAAGGAAGCAATAACATCAGCACAGCAACCCCAAACTCAATGGCATAGAGCTTATTAATGCAGCCAGTATAACTTACTTATTTAGGTTTATTTTTATTGAAAACATTTATTTAAAACTTTTGAAGACAGGGGGTGATTATTTGATTTCCATGATCTCCTTGAAAATGCTTGACAGCGCCACCAGCAACCATAGCACAGCATGTGAATTTATTCCCTAGCCAATGCCTACTAAGATTTACAAGACTTAAGTTTAATCATGAAACCATCAAGACAATCCTACAAATTAAAGGATTATCTGAGCTACTGCTGTAACTATGACTCTGGGTACTTGCTATGTTGTCCCCATATTTTTAAAACCAAGTTTTAGTAAACTGTGACTATGATGTTCCTAGTATTTTACAATATTCTTAGCTGTGGGGGAATGTGCACTTTTTATTCATAATGTTAGAATCCTTTTGTGTCATTTAAAATGATGCAGCTGTTATTATAGGAAATATTATAATATAGGATATACTGCAATGAAGCTTTTTGGTATATAAAAAGTACAGTATTATACTAAGGTTCTTGGTAGTACTAGGGTTCTCAAATGTTCAGACTCTTGTAGAAACCAACAAGATTCTAATAGGAATTCTAATAGTGAAATTATATATTGATGCTACAAAGGATAGTGGAGAATGTTGAGAGATTTTCCCCTCCTGTTTAAAACTTAAAAATTGAAATCTGACTTAAATGTATTTAAAGCTTTTTTTTATATAGATTTTTCTTTTTCTTTTTTACTGCAGCAGCAGGTAATGAGTTTTATCCTACTCTGATTTTAAATATAGTACCAAAATGTTTCTAAATGTAGTTTATAAAAACACCTCCATGTCCTAAACATTCAGAGAGCATCAACTGGTCTCTTATCAAATAAATGTGTTATCAGTGTCCTCAGTGTGCAAAGGTATCTTTCACTCTGTATTTAAATTCACTCTGTATTTTTAATCTATAATGCAATTATGAAAGTGTTATGTACTGAAGTTCTCACCCTGGGCCAGCAGGGGGATACTGTAGATAGTTTTCACTCAGGTCCACATATGCAAATAAGGGATTTAAAGTGACGTTCAGTGATTGGATAGTTACAGAAAGTGGTTACTGTTGCGTTGTAGTGGAGCTCTATATAAGCAGGCTGGCTGAACCCTTCAGTTCAGTTCTGTTCTGGCCTGTGAATAAACAAGAGCTGTTTGAAGAATCACTGTGTTGTCTGATATGTTCACCCACAACTTAACAGAAAGTGTGCAAACAAGAAGAAATTTCTGCACTATAGACTGATCCTTTTTAAAAGTGAAAGTTAAATTTATTAAAACCATACATTAATGGCCTGAAGGCATTTAATTATTGGAGAAGCAATAAAACCTCTATGGAGACATTTCTTTACATTATTACTGCCACATCTCATTTTAGCAGATAAGCTATTTTGTGCAGTTTTTTTTGCCTCCCCCCTTTTTTTTGAATGACAAGAACTTTTGCCTAAAAAAAAAGACAATGCAATTGGAGTAGCGGAGAGAGTGAGACAGACTGGGAAGTTATTTTCTTCATAAAAACCCATTGAATTGTTTATTCTGAAGGGTAGCATTTTTAGGGGAGGGGACTCAGCTCACTGCTAGTGCAGATTCTATGCATGCAGAAGGTTCCAGGTTCTGTCTCTGGGTTCTTCTAGTTAGGGCTATAAAGGCCCTAGAGAGTTAGTGTGAACCATTACAAACAATACAGAACTAGTTAAGCTAGGGCTACCAGACGTCCCCGGTTCCCGGGGACAGTCCCAAGATTTGCAAATCTGTCCCCAGGAAACGTGGCAGCGGCAGCCTCAGCAGCCCGGAGCGCAATTGACTCTGGCTGGCTTCAGGAGCTGCTCGCTGCTTGCTGCCACCGCCACTGCCAAAGGGGAACTGAGGACGTCCGGTGTTACAGATCTTCTGCCCCCTTTGTTTTGACAGATTGGGGAGGCTCGGGAGGCTCAGGCGGGCGGCCGTTGCTCAGTTTTTTTAGAAAACTCTACGCATTTATGTTTCACAGGGTGCGAAAGAAGGGCTTTGCACCTTGCCTGGCAGAGAAACCGCATTCCTTGTGTCCCTCCTGGGCAACAGCCACCCGCCCATGACTCCCGAGCCTCCCCCAATCTGTCAAAACAAAGGGGGCAGGAGATTGGGGAAGGCTCAGGAGTCATGGGCGGGCGGCACGCTGTTGCCCCGTTTTTAAAAAACTGTGTATTTATGTTTCACACAGTGCTAAAGAAGGGCTTTGCACCTTTAGACAATATGCATGTGTGCTTGGGCCCAGGGCCTTTTGCCTCACCATCTACACTACTGACTCCCTGTTGCTATTCAGCTTCCAAAAAAAAAAAAAAAGTATCCCCGGATTAATTGAAAAAAATCTGGTAACCATAAGTTAAGCTAATTGTTTCAGTAACTGGTATAAGGTAGTTTGTTCTGTGGCTATATTTTAAAGGCAGCTTGGTACTTGAAATAGCATATTTGGAACATTCAGTATGTAATTAAGGCAATGAAGGAAAAAAGAAAGAAGAAATCCTCCATAGTGCTGAGGGAGCAGGAATTTTATAAACTGCCCTGCTAGCTGAACTGTTGCTTGTGACGTTTCTTAATGCTATATTTCAAATGCTATTAGAAGCTTCTCTTCCTTCGACTGAATGATCCCTGAGCCCCCTGAAAATGGAAACTAAGCATGCTTGAATTGTTTTTGGTCTATTACAGCAGACATGGCACAAATGAAACTGACTTCCAAAGTATGATTTGTGCAGCGCTATATAACATGCACGCATAGGAAATTTATAGCATGCCACAAACTGCTTAACACTCAGCGCTCAAACGACTCTCTTTCCACCGCATGCTCTAATAACTGGAGATTTAATACAGAACCTAATATTTGGACAGTTATTAACATTGTTTTCCTTCTGTTTTACTGCCTTCTTGTAAACAGCAGCTTATTTAAATATAGTAGTAGATCCACGGATATACAATATTCGATTGCTGTCCCCAAGACAGGCGCTGGAGATCAAAAAGAAAATATATCTGAACTACAACAATGAAGCACTCACTTTTATATAAAATAAAAAGGAGTGGAAGGGAGAGATCTAAACAGGCTATTGATCTTATATATTTTTTCTATGTCATTTGGAAAAGCATTCTCATATTAATAAATAAAAGTCAGAAATGCATGGAAGATATGAGATCTTTTTCACAGTGACACCTTAAGGCATTGAGTGACTGAATCTGCCGAACAAGCTGGTGAACTGTCACAGTTTGGTGGAGCTGAGGCAGCAGTTAGAGCATCCCATTCTAAGCACTTGTTTTATGACTGTATTCAGGTAGTCAGTTTCTTTTATGTGGTTTTTGTATAGCACCACATTTTCGAGGAAAAATTGCTTCTCTCTTGCCTTTTTGAAGGATTATTTTATCTTAGGGCTCAGCAAGATGGCACCCACAGATACCAGTATGCCCATCACTACCTCCTATGCAAATATTCCTGCTTTTACTGGCTCTCTAGTTTGGACCCCCACCCCATTAAACATGCCCACATTTCATGAGTTGCTAGGATTCTGAAGAGAGGAGCTTTTCTCTGTGAGTGAGTGCAGTTGTGGCCAATTTAGCTGTCACATTCACACCGTTGTTGTGGCTCTCTCTCTTTTTCTGCTCTTTCAGGTATAGCATCCATTTTATGTTATGCCATATGGGTATGGCAGCCATTTTGTGACTGGCATCCACACAACTTCCTAAAAATCCAAATGTGCCCAGTGGTCCAAAAATGTTGAGAAATAATCAAAAATGTAGGGGAAACACTTTAAGACTTCATATTCAAGGAAACATTGAATGGGTCATTGTGTCTGTTTGTTAACCAGAAGGTTGGTAGTTTGAGCCCATTCAGGGATGGCTGTGGGCAGGATTAGATGTGGACTAGATGACTCTTGAGGTACCTTACAACTCTTCAATACTATGATTCTATGAATCTCAGATCTACACCAATGAGTTTGATAAGAGCAGGCAGAAGGGGATGACAGACATGAACCTGATGATTCCAAAACTTGAGGGAAAGGATAAACTGAGCTATGCCATTATCCCCCCTCCCCGAGAGTTTGACTACTTCTATCTTACCTCCATCAGAGGGCAGAACTGCCTCAGACGGTCTCCTGAAGAGTCAGGCGCGATTGATTATTAGGACCCCTGCAGCTGAGACAGTGATGTCCTTATGAGCTTTGGCTTTCTTTCACTTGCTCTGTTGAATGGACAGTTGATTATGTAGGAGGCAAGTGCGCAGTACATCTCAATATAATTTGTGTGCAATTATTTCTTGGGCAGAAAAGAGAGGACAACAACAAGGGAACAGATATGCTTAAATCGCACTCAGTCTCCCTTTCAGCTATGCTGACAGGATATTTTGTTCCTTTCAGTCTCTGAATCCCTACTGTTGTATGTGACCAACAACCATATTATTTTTCATGAAGTTTTTCTCTGCTCCAGTGACACCGAGTCTGGCTGCAACAGCTGTAGCATAGGGAATGATTGTCACAGCATAGCCTGTTAACGATGAGTGTTTGTTCCAGGTCATGTGAAGCAGAGATTTGGATTCTTGCCAGTGGCTGTGGAAAGGCAGCATTTATTGGTTGGATAAATGTTTAGGACATAGGGGTGTCACAGGGTGTGTCACAGCAGGCTGCCCTATGCAAGAAACAAATTGTACTTGCCTCCCCAAGGTAGCTGGAAGAAACCAAAGACAGCTCAGCTACTGGGCTTACTCTTATTCTTTGTCTGTGAGCAGGCATCTTTTAATGGCTCAGAGACAGTAAACAACAGGGAAGTTAAAAATCACAGGGTGGGGGGCATAGGTGGCTTCCCTCTGGTGCTAGAAATATAAATTAGGATAACATAAATGGTATGCTTTATCTGTGTGCACAGAACAGGTATCTTTAAGGGGGAAATCCAGTTAGGAATATTCCATTAGCCTATATTTTTAATTGAACCAACCTAATTTGTACTTCCAGAACTGTTATGCAGATTAGAAAGAGTCATCATTTGCTTTTTGCACTTTTCTGAATGTTGTCATGCATTTCTTGGTTTAAAAATGTAAAAAAAAAAAAAGAGTTTAAAGCACATAGAAAGCACATTAAAGTACATATAAAATATTTATTTTATTTATTTTATGAATATTGTGAGTAAAAACACACAAATGTGTATTTATCTCATTTAAGAGAAATATTCTCTTTCTCTAAGTAATCCAACAGAACTACAAATGGGTTCAAGGGGATTATATACTCTGTGTCACAGATAATCCTGGGGACCCATATTCCTCAGAGTTTAGGGCTGCTGCTACTCCTTGCTTTCTTTTCTGTTTTCCTGTCAGATTAGAGAAGCCCTGCTCATCATAGGAAGTAGTGTAGCAGTGAGAGGATAAGTAACCCAGCCAACCACTCCCTGCCAGTTTCTTTATCCTATGGCAAGAGGCAACCCCTCTTTTCTTCAAATCTCTTATTTCCATGAAGAGAAGAGCTTTTGCAACACCTTACCAGTCCCACCATTACCCACTTGCTGTCCATTCAGGCTGATTACTGATCAGCCTACTCATGATTAAGCAGTTTGTTCCCCACATGTTATAATGGACTTTATGTGGCCAAGCAACCCTGCCCTGAATCAGATGATCTTAGGGCAGTCATCCCCAGCTTTCTACCTTCCAGATGTTTTGACTACAACTTCAAAAATTCCAAGCCAGCATGGCCAATGGGAGAGAAGGTCCAAAATATCTGGAGGGCACCATGTTAGATAATACAGCCTTTGGGCAATACCACTAAGTAGGTAGATATGTTCCCTTGTTGCCACATCTCTTCCAACATTTATGAGGACATTTTTGGTCAATATAATGCATATTTACCTCAGTTTGATAGGCATCTTGTCCCCTGATAGAAAAAAGAGAGGGTTTAATAACCTCATTATCTTCTGATTCTCTGCTTCCTCCATTTCTTTGTCCCGTTTCATTACAAATGAAGTTTTCTTATTCCAGGAACATGAATTGAGAGGTTTGTGCAGAAATGAGACAGCACCTTTGGAGTTTGCTTAACTGAACAGGCAAAAGCTAGGAACAGAAACTTTATTATCTGTAGGAATTGTATTTATCCATTAAGCTGTTTTTATGTGTTGAAAGGAGTGTCTATGATGAGTCAGTGGCTACTTATCATGATGCATATATATTACTTGAGGTATCAAGGCAGCATGATTCTGAGTACAAGTCACTGGGGAACCACAGCAGGAGAGGGACATTGTGCCCAACCCTGCTTGCAAGTTTCCCACTTCCATCTGATTGGTCACTCTGAGAAACAAGATGCTGAACTAGATAGGCTTTTTGTCAGATTCAGCAGGGCTCCTTTTATAGGAGATTCTGGAACAGGCTTATCTAGAGAATTTCTTTATGTAAAATGGGCATGCAAAAGCTGAAAAGCCTGGAAAGTTCAGGAATTAATGCACGTATGATAGCAATGTCTTAATAATTCATCTGGAAGCCCAAAGGCTGCTGCTAAAACTTCTGAAGAGGTTCCTGGCTAACAATCTTTTCCTTTAGGAAGTCAGAAACAAGACAAACAATTATAAATCAAATGTTTTCTGCATGGTAGATTGAGGAAACTCTTTGATCTTTTGATCTTGGAACTGCATTAATTCATAACCCGAATGCTTTTACTTCCTGGCCTGAATCCCAGATTCCAGATGCCATTCAGAGGATATGTTTTCATGATCTATTGTTTGATAGTCTACATCCATTTTTTAAATCTGTATTTGCTATTATCAGGATTACAAGGTTTTCCTTGTGGGACTAGAGACCATTTATTAGGCAAAACTAATTAAAATAACCTTTCCTAAGAAACTATTTCTCATGCAGAAATGTCAGGTGCTTTCTTTAAAAACAACATAGAAGTATTTATTTGTCTGCTTGTCTGGCTTGCTCAACATGCAGGATTTGCCCCTGTCCCTGGACACAATGTCACTACACTATATCACAGAACGGATCATGAATACTTGATAAATCCACAGCAGCAGCAATGATGGTAAGATAATAGCTCCATTGTTATTTAAGCAAACAGAATGCTTCATGGATTTATATTGCCAGGGACCTTTCCTCACAGAGCTCGGTGCAAAGAAAATTCATATTGTCCATTACAAAATATTAGCATCCCCAAGTTTAATGAGGCTTTCTCCCTTTTTTTTTTTTTTTTGGCAGAATAAGTTACCTAGTTGATTAAAAAATCCAAAACCCCAAAGTTCATGTTAAAGCCTTTTCTGTCTTTTTCTGCACATCTGTTTTTAGCTTCCATGGCTGACAGCAAGTTCTGCAGATAAGATAACATGGATTTATTCAGCCAATCTGATATCACACAGTAAACAGACTGAAGTTGCACAATGGCAGTTGGCTTCATGACATCTCCATGCTTCGGAAAATCAAACCATGTAAATCAATGCAACTAATCTTTCCATTCCTTCTGTTCTCCTGTGTCTTTTTGTCCTGTCTAACTTACTGATCAACAGAAGTGCATGTGCACATTGCTGATGCACAGCTCAAAAAGGAACCTTGTTGTGATTGTGCACACCATTGCATCAGCATTCCTGAAGACTTAGCAGACAGTCCTCCCCCTGCCACAAATTGCACATATGCTACTGTCTTTATAAAGCTCAGAGAACAAAAATGGGAGGTTTATAAAGATACTGCCGCTAAGCAAGAGCAGATGATTCAGAACTCCCAATTTAGGGATGTTGTGTGCACTCAAACATGAGCACTTACAAAAACTAGTATACCTATGTGAATGTTTGCAAGCAGCATTGAGGCCAGAAGGGCCCTGCGAGTTCCATTTCCATCCTTGGGGAGAAAAAAATACACTTTATGAGTTAGTATGGAACAGGAACTACCAGCTATGCACATTATTTCTGCTAGGGAGAAGCACAGAAATAATGCACACAGCATCAATTTCAAGCTGGGAATTCTGAAACAGACAGTTCGTATCCTATTGCCAGTAGGAAGGGCCTGCCACTGCTGCTTGTCTTCTCCCCAAGGTTACTAGGCTTTTGGATGTTTTGAGTTTTAATATAATAGTTGCAAAAACCTTGTCCCCTTTTGGGAGTTGGGGTACTTTAGTTCTAATACATGTGATTTTCTCTCACAATGATCCAATAAATCATAGGTGCAAGATGGCTGTGTGGGAGGCAGGGCATCTGTTTGCATTTGAGATAGCTATATTGTCTGCAGTATGTGGTGTATTTTTTCTTTCTTTCAATTTTTCTTCCAGTGATTAGTAGACCCACATAGTTCTGCCAAAAATATATCCTGCCAATGCTTTCCCTTTGTTAGAATCAGTTCACATCTTAGTGAATTGAAGGGATTCTAATATGATTTCAGCAAAGTGTTTGTCCAAATTCCTAATGGTATTTTGGTTGTCCAACTGGTTAATACAAGTTAGATGAAAATACCACCCAGTGGATTCATAGCTGGTTGGACAACTGCATTCAAAGAATGCTCATCAGTGGCTCCCCATCAAACAGGAGGGATGTTTTGAGTCTGCTCTTGAACCCAGCAGTCTGCAACCTTTTTATCTTCTTTGCCAGCCAGTGTGGTGCAGTGGTTAAGAGTGGTAGATTCGTAATCTGGGGAACCGGTTTGCGTCTCTGCTCCTCCACATGCAGCTGCTGGGTGACCTTGGGCTAGTCACACTTCTTTGAAGTCTCTCAGCCCCACTCACCTCACAGAGTGTTTGTTGTGGGGGAGGAAGGGAAAGGAGAATGTTAGCCACTTTGAGACTCCTTTGGGTAGTGATAAAGCGGGATATCAAATCCAAACTCTTCATATAACACCAAAAAGATAGATCTACTTAGGAAACTGATTTATACAAAGACAGACCATTCTAGCTCAGAAGTTTCTATGCAGATAGGCAGCAGCTCTCCAGGATCTCCCAGAAGGAGTCAATCTGGATTTCTTAAACGGTTCATTCCTGTAGATCATGCCATCAGTGCAGTTGGCATAACTTGATATAAGAAGATATCCCCATTATGAACTGTCTTAACCCTACTCTACTCTTTATCTGAAGCATATCCTATAGATTGTATGACTATCCTGACCTCCTAACACTTAATGTAAAGATCATCACACTAATCCTGCTTTCCAGCGTTCCTCCTGTAAGATAGGACTGGGTTCCACATAGACAATAAATTCTTCCTCCAAGGTAGATACAGGAAGTATATGGATAACCAGTTAATCATTTTTTGCTAGGATCATGTCCTTTCAAGTTTATACTTAGCAAACAGAATATTAATCAGATAGGAACTTGTAGGAAATAAACAGGGGTACAATGGTTGGGTAGCTCACAGGTTCTAATGGGACCCCTCTCTTTACTCCTCAACAATCTCATGGATCAGCCTTATGCTTTGTTGAACCATGGACCAAAGAATGGGTGAGAGGTTTCTGTTGCTTACAGTAGCTGGTATAGGATTTTAAAGGAAGAGCTCAAATCTTGCAGAAGGCACAGATCCGTGACTCTGTGTTGTATTGGGCTTCAAGATCAGGGATACCCCAATATATTTTCTTCTTTGCTTTTAGTGTGGGTACTGGAGCAAATTGACATGCTCACTCCTCAGGCTTGGCTAATTGAAGACTGTTTTACTCTTTAAGATCAGTATGTGTTTGTGGTGTATGATTTGGTGCCTGCAATTTGTTGGCCACCCTACTCAGTTCTTGGTGGATCTAGAGCACTCCTACACACTTTCTAGGGTAATGGTCACAATTGAGCCACTTCGTATTGTAGCAATCTGTTTTCCATGGTGGTACAATGTTGGCATTACATACTGCAATGCATGTCTGGTTCCACTTGGGCACTGGTTGAAAGCTGCAGGGACTGAGAAAGCCCCTGACCAGCCTGACCTAACCACATGGCCACTCATCAGCTTCCTTGCCTGGTTCCTAGATGGCTGTTTTAGCAATAGACCAGTGTCAGTGATGCTTTAGAATCATAAAGAATCTTGGCTGCCATCCACAGTGGGTACTTTCTATCTTAAAAGGTAAAGGTAAAGAGACCCCTGACCGTTAGGTCCAGTCGTGGACGACTCTGGGGTTGCGACACTCATCTTGCTCTATAGCAGCTCACGGAAACGCCGTTTACCTTCCTGCCAGACCGGTACCTATTTATCTACTTGCACTTTGACGTGCTTTCGAACTGCTAGGTTGGTAGAGCTGGGACCGAACAACGGGAGCTCACCCCGTTGCGGGGTTTCGAACTGCCGATCTTCTGATCGGCAAGCCCTAGGCTCTGTGGTTTAGACCACCCGCATCCCTTACTTTCCATCTTAATTTACCCCAAATGCATTGCCTGGGGCTATTGATCTGTGGATAGTTTGATAAAAGCACTTCATAGATATATAGACCAGGGCATTGTACTTTTGGTAAATTAAGATGATGGGCAGTTACCATGAATGGAAGCTGAGTTGGTTCCCATTTTTTAAAAAGGTAACCACCACCTGCCCACTACTAAAATACTTCCAGGGAGGGTAGTCAGTTCTGATGCTGCCACTGTGGAGACAGCAGCAGAAAAAATAATGCAGCTATAGCTGTGTGGTGGGCCTATCAGTGGCACTGTGCCAAAGGCCTCCTGCACTCTGGTGCTGGCCCTGCCCTGGTATCACAATGTTCCTTTTAAGCCCCGTTCTGTGCCCAATAAGCACGGGATGCTTTTTGCCCCATGGCACTGTGGCCCATAGATTGCAGCAAAATACTGGGCAAGGTTTTGCTCAGAATCTTCTCTGTGTGATGGGCTCATGGGAAAAAGCTGTCCCATGAGCCCTTGCTGAAGAGGGGAGGGGAAAGCCTATATAAAGTTGCTTCCCTGGGAGCTCACAGCCATTCTGTTTTGACAGCTTCCCACCTGCCTACCCTTGGGTTAGAGCCTTCACTGAGCAATTTTGGGTCGTTGGTTGACAGGGCCGGAAATGATTCCCAACCTGGTTGGCACTTGGTTGGGATTTTTTCCGCCTTTCCCTAAGTGAAATTATGACATTCCTTTGTTAGGTGGAAGAACAATGCATGTAAGAGGGTGGAAATGGCATTGGTCAGGATCAGCATAGTATAGGGGGGGGGCCATAAGGAGCCTGAGGGGAAGATTGACCATGGCAAATCCAAGTGTGGGTTTGGTATCTGCCTGGTTGGAATCTGCACCCTCGTCCCCCATTGAGACCTTGCTTGCTTGGCATCTACCACGGCAAGGTTCAACACTGGCCAACTCCCGTCATACAGGTTTGGAGCAATCCAAACCCAGCGGATCCATTCCATCAGTTGTGGAATGATGAACTGATCCTGGGACCCAAAGCCATGCCAACCCTTGCCCTGCCTGCTGCTGCCAAAAAAGATTTGGCCTGATCTTATCCCATCACTGTTGTACAGTCTGCTTATTTTGCTGCTCTTGTGGGTCACATAATGTGCTTGCCTGGGCAAGTGAAGTACACAGTATCTCAAATTTTGCATTACTGTTTCCTACTATGATAAAGCTATAGGAAACATGAACTGACTTTTAAATATGCAACCTTTTTATTACCCCAAGGAATTCCAAAGTGGAGAAATGTCTTTCAAAGGGCTGCAGGATTAGAAACACAATTCCTGGGCTAGATAAAGCCCATGCATAAAGTGTTCTCTTTACAGATAGTGGTCAGCATTGAGCATGCTTTCCCCCACTTATAAATCCTGGGGTTCTCTGCATAAATTTGGTAGATTTTAGCATATAGAGGAAACTTTAAAATTGCATTAGAAGTGATGTGACTCAAACTTCTAATTTACTGGTTTTATGTAATATCTGAAATGGGTAAAAATCACAGATCTCATGTAGGATATGATTTATGAGTTCCAGATGGCCTCTGGAAAAGAAAATACATGCTTGAACTCTAACTGTTCCACTTTGACCATTGCATTAGGAGAGGGGAGCCAGAAACACTGATCATTTTCACTTCAGCCATACCCCTCATATAGTCTAAATGCAATCTCACCCACAACTTCAGGCTCTCATACCAGAAAAAATACCTTGGAAAGATCCAAGTGCACAAGCATCCAAACAGTATAAATGGTGACCTGAATGTTTTGTTATTAAAGGTGTTGTACTGTAACCATCTATTTATGCAGCAGTATTGGGTATTTGCAGCAAGACATTTTCCAGCGTTTTATGCTATATCTACAAGTTATGATAAATTGGAAGTGATTAGCAATGGAATCCAGGAACTAGATTTTTCTGATGCAAGTCACAAATAATCTAATTCAACTCCTGCTTAGATGCCAGTGAGGCTTATAATAATGGTCTCCCCAAGATAAGTTGAAAATTGGCTATTTTTCAAAGAAAATGGATCAGCTGTAATGATAATATACAGAATGCTACCGTGATGATGACAACTAGAAATGCAAAGAAATTATACTCATCTGACAGAATGAGATTTAAATAGGATCCAAAGATTGGACAAGGGGAGCTACTAAAATGTCATTTCACTCACACTTGCATTATCAATTTAGAATAATATGGGGGGAATTCTAAGAATATTTGTCTTAATAAAGAGAAAATGGAGATTGTTGTCACCATCATTTTTAACACTCCAGACCTTGGAGCTTTTCTGTCATTGATTAATTGATTGTAGAAGTTCAAGTCCAATTTTTCAAGTGGCAATTTTAGGCACCAGAATCCTGGCAGAAATGGGAAATAGATTTTTGTGATGTTTTTCTGCCTTGCATTAGGTAGGGATCACTGTGGACAAAACACTGAATGAACAATGGATCACACAACGATTCCATTCTTTCATAAATATAAATATAGAGTACGTCAGATGCAAACAAAGAAAATCTTGATAAAACAGAAGCTATTAATTCAGAATGCTTTTTAAGTCCCCGGAAAGGGACTTAATTTGAAGGAAAATAAAAAAATTCCTTCCAGTAACATCTTAGAGACCAACTAAGTTAGTTATTGGTGTGCGCTTTCGTGTGCATGCACACTTCTTCAGAAGAAGTGTGCATGCACACGAAAGTTCATACCAATAACTAACTTAGTTGGTCTCTAAGGTGCTACTGGAAGGAATTTTTTTATTTTGTTTTGGCTATGGCAGACCAACACGGCTACCTACCTTTAATTTGAAGGGACATTAATTTGTCCTGAGAAAAGCAGTTTCATTTGTTAAGTTACATTTCACACTTAACATGCTTACATGTATATTAACTCACAGGAATGATGTTGAGGGACTCCTGTTTAGTTATAGGAAACAGCCTTATACCAGGTTAGAGCCCTTGTCTGTGTAACCCTGTATTATCATTTCTGCAACCTGAGATCCTTTTAAATGAGATCCTTGAAGATGCCATGGATTGAATCTAGAAATTTGTTTAATGTTCTCTTTCACTGAGAGATGGCCCCATACTGTGTGTGTATGTGCTTACTTCTAATCCACTTTGAAATACTTTTGCAGCGGCTCCCAGAACAATATATATAAAAAACACATTAGCATTACACTAAATATAAAATACATAAAAGCCATTCATCAATCAATCCAGGTAAGGTAATACATTTTGCTTACATGTACAAGAAACAGAAGAGGAGACAACCGGAGCAGGTGCTGGCAAATAATTTATTATGATAAAATTTAGTAGCTTGACACATTTTGCTTAAAATACCCCTTATATCAGTATGCTCAAATATTTGTACTCTCAGTTGGCTTTGCTTGTCACTAGAGATATTGCCAGGCGGCACATTGGCTACATAACACCCTGATTCTATGTGACAGTCTCTAAGTCATGGAGTTCTCTCGCTGTAGAGGTGCACCTGGCTCCCTCATTGTATGCATGGTGAAAACACTTCTCTTTACCAGTAGCAGTTGGCAGGGAGGCACAGGTAGGGCAGCACTAATCACCTCGCTGCCCAGTGCTGAGCGTCACTGCCTGTTACTGAGTAGGGCCAAGGCAATGGGCGGGGGGCTTGGGGCAGTGTGGGTGCAGGGGTTGTATTAGTTCTGCATCTGTGCCCACACAGCAGCTGCACTACACCAGGCTTCTTGCTGCCTCACACCTCCCCCTCTCCTTCTTGTTTACCAGCAGTGATGCTTGGTGTTGGGAAGCCAGGGGAACAAGGGTGCCCTGCCCATGCTGCCCCACTTCTGCCACCCTACCAACTGCTATTGCTCTTTACCCTGACCTTTGACACCTGTGATCTGTTTTTTAGGGTCTAAAGCTCTCTGGGCTTCATCATTGTAGTGCTGAGCCTCACCCTCACCCTAGCAAATGCAAATACTGCTGCTATGAGAATGCCACTGCTGCTTTGTTCCCCACTGCTATAAACTAATGCAATCTACCTTTTCCTCTTCTTGGCTTATTTGGAGGTTTTATCCCTCCATTGCATGCAAAAGACTGGCAAATAGCAAGAATACATCACCTTTCCTGCTGTGAAATAAGTTGTCTTTACCTCTCTCTGCTACACTAGACCTCTGTCACCCTTTAAAAATGAGAGCTGGAGGAAAGGAGAGGGGGTGTGTGGCTCAGAGGAAGACTTGGGGAAGGAGATAAGCCCATTATGCTCTCGGTGAGTATGTGACCACAACAGTTTTTGGTTCATAACTGACTTAAACAATTGACTATTTGGGGTGTGGGTGGGGTGTATTTCACTTTGCTAAGTGCAATTGGAAACAGAACTGGGATGGCATGAGGAGTTGCCTGTAACTCTTCTCAGCCTAATCTTCCTCACATAGTTGCTCTGAAGTTAAGTTAAAATCATAAAGTGTGCTATATGTGAAATATGCAAGAGAATTATAAAACACCTGAGCTTGAACTTGATAATAAGAATACAAATTTGAGGATACCAGGAATATTTCATCATTACTGATACAATATGGGTGAAGAATTTATTTCTAGAGCATCTGTGCATTTATTAGATAATAAAGTACTGTCAGTCACTAGTTCCCTAAAAGTTTTTGGAGAGTAGTGTTGTTAACCTATGTCATCTGTATCCAGATACTATCCAGATATTGCCCAACTCCCATTAGCACCACCCAGCATGCCCAGAGCATTCACTTATTTTATGTAAATTTTATATCTCACCATTCATAGCCAAGTGGCTCCAGGCTGGGTCACTCTCTCTCTCTCTACATATATATATATAGAGAGAGAGAGAGAGAGAGAATGGTTAGAAAACCTTGAAATAAGCAGTTCTGTCATTAAAGCTTGTTGTTGAAGGAGAGCATAGCTAAAGAGTGGACTGTGAGTTTCTGCTACTAACCACAGCAGTGGCAGTTGGAAGATACGTTGGTGAACTGGGAACATTGAATTGGATCCAGACTTTGGTCCTGTTAGTGGGAACATTCCCTGCATGCACACAGACAGAAGAGGGAGAGACAACTTTTACTAATTCCCCCGCAATCCCTTGCACTTTCCAAAAAAATTTCTCCAGAGGATTGAAGGAAGGGAAGACAAGGGGAAGATCAGTCAAAATCACCTCTTTCTCCCTTCTGCTTGTGGAATTCCTCTATTGCAGCAAAAGCCCCTGTATCTTCAGTCCACTCCCCCCACCTGCTTCCACACGGGAGAGCATGTGGGCATGTTTGAGTATGTGTGCAGGAGCAGCGTGTGTTCGTGTAAGTGGTTGCAGCGGTTATGCGGTGCCTACAGCAGTTTCTCTGGTTTGCAAATGCATCTACAGACCCCAAAAGGTTGCCAATCCCCGCCCTACACACTAGATGCAAGTTTGTAAGGCTTAGTTTCTCCTAAGGACACTAAAATGTACCGTACTTGGGAGAATAACATACCACACCTAAGCAACTGTGAACTGATGGGAGTGTTGTCTTCTGGTATAAATGTGCAGAATTCCTCTTTGTTCTGCTCAGTTGTAGAAAAGAAATGTATTGGATCCTGTAAGTACTGTATCCCGCAGGAAGCAAAATCCTGAGGAACATTAGCTCCAAATAATACGTTCAAGACAAAATATTTCTAAAGATTGGCTATATGTTTTAGAAGACTGAAGGGTGGTATACAATATAGAAACACTGCTTTTGGCAAGCTTAGCTGTCATAAGTTGCAGTTCAGTGGAAAACAACAGAACGGGAAATTTGCAAGAACACTAATATATAAGTCCATATTGTTTTGGCACTGCATTGCCTTTGCAATAAAAATGATAAGCAGATGCATCTGATAGCAATTTGAGTCTAGGAGACAGATCTGGTGTTCCCTCCCATCCCTTGTTGACTGCTACCTCCCTCCCCTTTTTGGAACTTGCTAACTACATATGGTATGCCTGGGGTTATAACTTTCTTCCTTGACAACACTACACTGTAAATTACAGAAAAATATGGGTATATGTTTGATTTAAATGCAAGGTGGGGGAGGAGAATCAAAGCTCTATTTTATTATCAACGTAGCTGAAGTATTCATGCAACCTTTGAAATGGGCCATTACCAAGGTTAAACTAAACATAAACAGGAAATATAGCTATTTTTTGTGGCCCCACTTTCTGTTTTTCAGACAAAAGCACTATTCAAGTCAAGCATCTGCTATGTTAATTTTCAAGATATTGCTGAGAACTCAATTTCCTTGCTGAAGTTGCTTTTCTGTTAGAAAGCTATGTCATGCCATGGATTCAGGAATATATCATGTGGGTAGCTGAATTTATACTCCATCTAAGATCCATCACACTATCCAGATGGGGTTCATAAAAAAGCTGTAAAGAAGGAAGCAAATTAAGACCCACAAGTATTGAGAAAATACAAAATATCTGAGGGAAAGGGTCAAGGTTTTACTCACCTGAAGACCTGCATGCAATATGGCTGGAGCATATGAGCAGTTGCGCTGGCACAGTGGTAAAAGGACTGAGTAATTGGAGTAATGCCATGTGTGCAGCTGTGCTGGTAGAGAAATTAAACCCCAGCTGAGCAATAAATATTAGCAACCAATGCCATTATTTCTTTCCATATAACATGATGCGGAATCAAGAGGCTTATTCAACGTGGCAATGATACCAGGTGAGGTAGAGGAATGAGCTATGAAAAGCAGGGATGGGAGAATCTGTTGATTTAGGTCATCTCAAGTTCAGTTCTCCACATTTACACATCAGTTTGCACTTTTTAAAGAATCCTCCTGAAAATGCACCAACATTTTTGGTGCAAATGTCTCACAATTTTGCCCTCACCCCCCCCACCTCGACACATGCATAGGAGCTAAATAAGCATACCCTCCCTTCCCAGCTAGGACTTTCCCACATTGTTGTAGATAATGGATTAGAGCCAATGCCTGCTTGCATTACTTTTGGCCATTCAAGTACATGGAGCAGAGAAAAAACTGAAAATCAAAAGGGAATCTTCTGCTCAGCTATAGCCTGTGTCCTAGGATATCTGGAAAGTCTGGTGCCCACTGCAAAGGCAAGAAAAACTCCACATTTTCTGACATCTAGCAGGGAAGAGAGAATATAAACTAAATCTTTCCCCCAAAGGCTTATTGCATTAATCCTTATTCACAGTTGTCAAATAGTTTAAGAGTGCTTAGTCTGCACCTCCACCTTTTTTTGTTGCTTTTAAGCTCATGGTGGCAGGGACCTGACAAACGTTAAAAATAAATATCAGTCAGGATATTGGACTCCATTGTCCTAATTCACGGTCATGCAATTTTAGCAGTAATATAACAAGCTCCCAGCTTTTAAGAATTCCCTATACTACACTGCTTTCCAGTGTAATTTACTGCTATCCTACTGGGGCACTATCTTCATTTTGGCTCCAAAACATGCAAGGCAAGCTTCCTTGATAATTCAGGTGCTTGAACTTCCAGATTTTTCAAAAATATACATAATGTGGCTTCAATCAAGATAGGTTCTATGGAAGTTACAAGGATAGAAGCAGCATAGCCAGACACAAAATTTCAGCCTGTCAAATCTAACTAGGCTCAAACAGCCAGGTTTAACTTCCTTGGCTCTTGGCTTATGTTTCTCTGCTAAACAGAATTAATACTTTGATGTAACTGAGAAAATTAGGAGTAATTACCGTAATAAAATGTATGCAACATGTATATCAAAGCTATGTACTT